AGAGGCGGAGCTTAAATCGCTAATTGAGGGTGCGAAAATGGTTGGCGAGCATGCTCGCGCATGAGGTGCAGAGTTCAAGCGAGCGGCTATGCAGGAGTGGAGAGGCTGGTGCACCCACTCTGCAATTTATAGGCTGTGCAAAAATGGCGATGAGCGGGCAGCGACGGCTACCAGCGGGTAGATATAATCTTTCATGATTCAGAAAGTAGCTGCAGAGCGCATTCACTGCTACAAAAGCAGCCAGAAGGCGGCGAAGAGGCAGCGACTCCGTTAGGCTGGCAGCGACCGGGAGACGATGGGCATGCGAATGCAGGATTTCCGTGAGCGGGCCGCATAAATGTTATGAGAAGAAAGCTTTAATTTGTAGCGCTGTATCGTGCTGCCAACTGGAAGCCATAACGGTACCATAACGGTGCCCTCTCAAGACCCTGTTGATCGCACTAGAAAAATTAAATGTGCAGGCAAGCGAGATTGGCAGTTTAAACTTGCGTCACTTTTGGTTTCATTGTTGCCTCGTCTTCGTTTTTAATAATTACAATGTCATTGGCGCATTACTTTCTTTACTTGTCTTCCTAGGCTGCAATTGCTCTCTTTTGTTTTGTATTATCTCATTATTACAAAGCATTTCTGTTAATGATTCTCTTTCCTATCCAGCCTTATACTTTGTCTCGTATCTTCATTGCATATACAATCGCTACAATTATCATGCGTCTCTCTTATGCTAAAAAGACAATAAGTAGAGGATCACATTTCACACCGCGAATGTACCTCACAGTAACTTTGCACAGCTTTTACAGATACGAGAACGGCAGAATTAATAAACTCAACCAATTTCTTTGACTTTTGTAATGAATCTAAGTGCTTGAACACACTCCCCACTTTAATGAAGTTACAAAAAAATCATCAATTACCAGTGTATCAAATATAACCAACAGTGATCTTTTGGCTGACAGAAGCAGGTCTCATGAGGAGTTTGGAGTTTGATTGTTCTGAATTAAGGTTCGTACAAATATACAAGTTTATTAATGTTTTGTTACATCGTTATAAACTGCGAGGAAAAATAGTTACTAGCTAATCATATTTGAAGTCAATCTGTTGCCTTTCATTGCGCTTCCATATGATTCCCCAAAGTCTTTTGTGAGCGATTTTCTCACATCGTGTATAGCGGTTTTCTCACATCCTACATCAGCCTAGATGATTCATGAGTCATGTACATCGGTATCAAATCGCTTTGGTGTTTTCAGCCCGCACTGGTTTGGTGCGTACGCTTTGCGCCCATGCACGACGTGGCGGGCGTTCACCCTGGCGCTTTGCCAGTCGCCATCAGCTGATTTCACAGCCCATCAGATCGTTTTTTAGTTACTTGTTTTATTTTCGCTTTTCTTATCAGGATTTCCGCTGGAAAAGTGATGGGCCGGCCCTAGTCAGATAGATGCATATGCCGTTTTTGCAATAACACCTAGAAAAGTGAATTTTCAATTAACTAATATTTTGTTTCGATTATTTCTGACTGTTTCTTGCTCTTTTCCTATGCCAGGTGTCACCAGCTGATGTCGCCTGGTTGAAGGTAAAATGTATCTTTACTCGATTATCAGCAAAAAATTGAAGTGTTTCTAACTTTTAGGAAGTCCGAGAACAGGCCAACAGTGAAAATACACTTTCCTAGGTGTTATGCAAAAACGGCATATACATTTGTCTGATTAGGGCGGTCCATCATTTTTTCAGCTGAAATTCTGAAAGGAAAAGCGAAAATAATAAATAACTAGCCAAAAAACGATCTGATGGGCTGCGAATTCAGCTGATGACGACTGGCAAAGCGCCAGGTGTGAACGCCGCCCCGTTGTGCGCACGTTACCAATGCGGTGCGGAAAACACCAAAGCGATCGATACCGATGTCACATGACTCATGACCAGGGTTGAGCAAGAATTCAGGCACAAATCTTTCAAAAACGACCCCCCCCCTTGCGAAAGCCCCTAAACGACCCTCCGCTTCACTTCCAAGTCCTCAGGGTGTTATATTTTGAAGAAGACCAGCCTTCACTGCAGGTTTCTATTTTTTGAAAGTCTGTAGGCCCGATTTTCTGCGATTGCACAACAACACGCAACTTGACGGCAAGTTTTAGATCTGGATAGTCCCCTTTTCAAAGCTATAATTTCCACAAGGGTGAAGCGTTTGGCTCCAAATTTTCAATGCAACAAGAAGAGACTTTGCGCTCAATACTCATATCAAAAAAGGGGCGATTGTTGAATTTTGAAGGCAAGTTAATGGAGTCAGGCGCAACCCCTCAAAAGCTCAGGCGGCCTGACCTTTTGAGGAGTTGCGCCTGACCCCATTAACTTTATTTCTGACAAAGCTTTTGCACCCAAGTTTTATGTGATTCGCTAGTTCAACCCTCGAAGATTCCACAGTGAGTGTTTGAGCTTGATTCAGTTGTTTCGGCCTTGTGCTAATTCGAGGAGTTGAAGCACTCAACGTGAAAAACGCGCCGGTTAGAGTTTTGGCAGCACTGCTTACTTCATTGTTTGAAAGCGATATGAAGCCCGATTTTTAGCATAGACTTGTAGAGATCATTACTTTGTTACGAGTATACAAAAGCTGGCCTTTCTCACTTCCAAAACCAAGTTGATCACGTTTGAAAATCACGCTTTTTAGACGTTGAAAACATTAAAAACTGCAGTAGGTGATGGTTTGTAGAGTGCATAGGGGTAATTTGACATGCTGATTATGGAAATGATACCCATTTCACACAGCAAGCTTCTTGTTTACCTCATATGTCAAGGTAAAAGAGAAGAAGATTTGAATTTTGGCTGAAACTTCCATTGTGGAAACAATCAGTATGCTGTTTATGACCGTCATTCCTTCATGTGATCGCGATGTCCACTGGACTAGCGCATTTCTTCTTCACCTTCGCAGTATCTCCCCAACTTAACAAATTCGACTCTTAATTACGAGCCCCCCCCCCCCCCCCACCCTCAGTCTTACCCTCAATACGATCCCCCAGGTCGGGCGCGCCTGATCCCACGCTCAACTCTGCTCATGACTTAATTTGTACGATGTGAGAAAATCGCTTGCAAAGGGCTTCGAGAAAGCATATGAAAACGCACGCAATGAACGGCAACAGATTGGCTTCATATGATTAGCTAATGACTGTTTGTCCACGCAGTGTATGACGATGTAACAAAATCTTAATAAACTTATATATCTTTACGAAATCTTAATCTGGAACAATCAAATTCCTCATGAACCTACTTCTGTCAGCCTTATCGCCTCAAAGCGAAATGGCGGCGATAAGGGCACGGCGATTTTAGTGGGTTTTGACGGTGGCTTTGTGGCTGCCGGCTGAGAGCCTTTGATTGTCTGACATTGTGAAGTGAGCTCTTCCTGTGGAAGTGCTTGTGATCCAACCCCCATCAAGTCAGTCGCATTTGTTCACTGTTTGCTTTGCCATACCTGCGTTAGCACAGTTTCTTCCCAGCCACGTTTCGTAAATAAAGAAAGCTTTTCATGTGTTACAAGGTTCGTATAACCTGAAACTTTTGATGTATTATAAGGTGCGTGCCAGACTAAAGAATTGTAAAATAATTAATATTTTGTTATAATTCAATATCCAGACAGGCGCATCCGACTAACGTTGGTTCCACTATCCTCGCATCATAAAGTTTTGTGCTAAACTATAACGAACGTTGTTCTTTTAGCAATCTCTTTGTTAGACATTACATTGTGAGCAATATGCACAGCAACCGTTCCTCCGGTAGCACACCAATTGGGCAGTTGTTAACCGAACAAAAGGGATCCACTCACGACTGATGAAGCCTTGCATTTTTTTTTGTCATCTGGGAGAAACGGTTGCAACTGTTCCAGTTGTTTTCAGTTTTCCTTCCTTCATCAATCATAGTTCCTGTGCTTATCTCTTCTCCACTCAATCAATCAAGCGAAATTTCGTCAAATCCTTTCAAGCACAAACGTTTTCTAGCTTTCAGTGAATGTAATTCAAAGATATATTGACGCTGTAAAAATAGTGAAATTCGCTAGATTTTACTCTCATTCTTTTCACAGGCACACCACCGCTACTACTCACAGACGGGATTTGCGCAGCATTTGATAGATATTTAGGAGGAAAGAGTGTGAAGTCATTGCGACTGTAAATTTACTGTTTCTGTAGCCATCAACATGAAGCTTATGATGATGCCGAAACCATAATAATCATTCACTAAATCTGAAATGTAAACTCCTGGAAAGCGGATGGAAACTCCTTCGCCAATTCAATCTTTTTAGCATTTACGGTGTTTTTTGTTTCAAACCAGTAATTTGCAAAAATTGTTCTTATAACTTCACCAATGAATAACGTTATTTATGCACAGTTAACTATGGATGAGCTGGTATCATCTTACATTTCAGGTCTGCACCAGACTCATATATTATTTTACGGAAGTGTCTGACTGAGCTAACATAATTTGACTAGATCTTTAATTATTTCTATTAAGGATGACGATGGAGCCGAAAATGATATAACTATTACTCCTATCAATTACTGTAACATATTCAGTACAGAAAAAGGTGAATGTTTCGTAGTATCGTTGCAGTATCGTTGATGCTGCGTCAAGACACAAATTTCCTTATTTTTGGACAGTCGGATTTTTTTTTCGGAAATGATAACCAGTCAAATGAACTAATTTGTGATTGTTCAAATATTCCTTCTATGTTGAAAACTCTAATACTACATAGTGGAACGAAAGAATGCAAGAATGGCAGAAGCGTAAGAAGAAGAGAAAAAGTTGCTTGGTTCAAGGAGTATTCGTGTGCGTTATATCGCAAATTCATCAAAACTGAAGCACCTGCTGAACCCACCGAATGTCTTCACATGCCACATTCAGTATCTTGTGATACGAGCTTCTGTCGGCATGAAGAAAATGTAATAAGAAGTGTTGCCTAACTATCAGAGGCCCAAAAGAAATATAAGGGAGTACACGAACTATAAAATTCAGGTTGAAGAACTAGGATGTATAGCGTCGATCAGAAACAGGCTATTGCTTACGTATCGAAAGTCGATCGATGTAAGTTAAATTATAGGAGATTAAGAAAGAAAGAAGAAGATGAGTTTGAAGCCAAAAAACATTTTCAAGGTAGAACATTGCAGAACGAGGCTGTTACAAGCAAGGCAGTCTTTTGTCGCAGACCTGTGCGCAGAGGCGCAGGAGAGGGGAAGGAAGAAGGATGACAGATAAATCAGAGAACAAGAGTTTAGCTTTATGCTGAAGTGAAGTGAAGAGAGCAAAACCATTTACATTGGTAAGTCATAGGTGCATGTTTGGGAGGGGGGGGGGGGTGTCCTTGAGTGAAAGGGTGAGATGTCGGATGTTCAAGAATCGATGGGTTATAAAAGCCCTCGTTCAAGACCTTTTGAACAAACCAGCATTGATCATTCGCTGGCATGCTCAACCGCAGTAAGACTAGAAATGTCCATAAACTTTAACTTTTCTGCTACTCTACTGACCAAGCCCGCTTTGCTTACTTTGGTATTCGAGAGCACTTTGCTAGCGTACAAGTATGAAGGATCACCACCTCCACAACTTGCAACAACCTATTGATCTTCTCGGTTACAATGTTCCATTACAACACTTCTTATTAATCAAGTATTCTCGAGTAACTGACTCTTCCTATTAGCCTCATGCGGTGGGAGTATATCCACCATGCAATCCTGAGTTAGATAGTTTATCTCAGGGACGTTTTGCTGGCAGTAATGGGGGCATGGGTACCATCTCCATGATCACATCTTTATGACAATTGTAGTCCAGAGCAGTCACATGCAAGCTCTATCAAACATACTTCTTAACCAATTTAAAGGTATGGACCCAACGGCACGGTGGACCTTGACTGGGGTTGTTCGATTTACTGTGTGTGTATTTTTTTTCTCTTGTTCTTTTTGTAAGGAACGCCATAGAGCGTATGAATAAATAAATAAAATAAATAAATAAATAAACACAAAGAAAATATGGTTGAAGCGAATTTAGAGGCGGCCGAATTCTGCGTAACTTAAAAACATAGCCAAAGAAGCAAAAATACTCAAAGGGAGTGCCCAGGCTGATCTGGGTACCTCGGTTTCTTATTGTGGAAACTAGTTTAAAGGCCATAACTGATCTATGTTTACGCCGCATCTTATCTGTTCATTTCTGGTTAAAATCAAAGTTGAAACTTCTCACACTCTACTTTCTGCAGAACTCGACGACGATAGGTTCGCCACAAAGGATGGTCTAAGCTTTCAAAAGGAGCATCCGAATAAGACTATTAGTCTGCAAATCAGCTGTATCGCAGCATTTCAAAAAAACAGTGGAGTACGTACATTTTTGGAAGTCTGATATCACACAGCTAACGTCCAGCTTATGCAGGAGAATTTGATGCATCTAGCAACAAAATCAAGAAGGTCTCATCTTGTACAGGGAAATCATGATCTTCACCAGAATAGCGATTTAAAGGAGACTGATGGAAAAAAGCAAGGATAACGCATTGGTTGAAAAGAAAAAACCATGAAGGAAAAATAATAAGAAGAATATGAATAAAACATGCATACAAACAAAACAAACTATTTTTCTTTTCACAGTCAGAGTGATAGAAGATCCTACTTCGCCTCAGACATCCGAAGTAAATTTGTGAGAGGAGAGGAAAAGTACAAGAAGCCCACGCTGACGTAGGTGAACCGAGAAAAAAACGATATGACTTCAGCATAATTCTAAGCATGACATTATAGCACTGAAATTGGCAGTTGGACATTAATCAATGTCAAAAACACCAAGGAGGGCATAGCAAAGATAGGGACTACGTTGGCAACTTTCTAAAGGTTTAAATTGTGGAAAGAAGCCTTGTAAATGGTAGAACAAACTAACGATTATCTAGGTGCCAAATGTGATAGAATAAGCTCCATGTGTAGGATAGAATATGTGGGGAGGCAAAGAGCGCTTATGAACAAATCCAACTCAGACAAAAATCCTTGGAGATTTTCAGGCGGCCACAGTTGCACAACTATGCCGGATTCGAAATCGCGGCAAAGTATTCCACGACAGCAGCCGCTCACATCTTGCTTGGACGTGAGCCCAATCAGAAAAGTTTCCTAATAGAACATCTCAATGAGCTTTCGGAGTGGCCCATGATATTGAATTTCGAAGTAGCGTACCACCGTTTCCTTTAGACTATCACAAACAAACGAATTATACTGTTATTCTACTTCTATCCACGGACATGAAGTGATACTGTCTGTTGTATAAGGAAAGAGTTGGAAAAGTGAACAGATGTAAGCGACGTGTCGCTTAAGATTTGAGCTGTTCTGCGACCCGGGCAAGAAAAAAGGATGGTCTGAAGAGTTGTGAAACTTGAAAAGCTTACTGAACTCTGTAGGGAGATATCTAAATCACTGATGCTATGCAAGAAATGCTTGTAGAAGTCAGATTCTGGATGGACTGCAGTTGTAAGTAATATTTACACATTATAAAAGTTTCTATCAATACAATCACTCAAACCTGTAGTGGTAAAAGAACGGATACAAAAGGAAGAAATGTCTTTAATGGTTAAGGAGATGTTTTCTGCCAATAGAAGAATAATTCTAAAGTTGTGTGCAAAAATAATGCAAAAGTAATCGTAAGCAAACGTAAGCTATAATTGCTCTGTAAACTTTGCGAAGATATCTACAGCGAAGAAATGAAGAAATTAGTGTTTTCACAGCGTGACAAGTATTGGTAAGTGAAATTCTCATCTGTTGAAACATTATAATATTTCAGTGCAATGATATGTGTTGCAGACAAATTTCATTTCTATAAGAAAGCTCCCAAAATTCGTTGCGCAATCCTTGCGGACTTGCAGTTGTAGGCTTGAGTCCATCCAACCACACTCAAGTCAAGCCCTATCATGAATTCACGTAGGACAAAGACACCCGATACCCGTAAGTGAATGGTATTCAATGTAAATTTTCTTTCTCTTTCCGCGAGTATGCTTCCGAATCGTAATAGTTGCTTTCTGAGATTTGAAGATCGTTTTTACCACGCCCGAGTTTAATTAATTATTGCAATAGTCGTTCCCGACCTTTGTAAAGTTTGATGAAAAGCCGATATCGTAAGTTTTATTCCGCAATAGACTTATTTCGAACTTCACCACGTGGCTTCAAATGCCAGATTCTTTTCAGTGCATGCGAACCCCGTATTCGAACTACACAATATAGCGCAAGGATGGTAGTGTAGAAAACGATTTTCTCTCACTGTTCAGGTCGCTAAGCATTTGGACAAGAAGACAGGTGGAATGCCATGGCTTCTAAATCAGCTGGAAAACTGCAGAACTTTTAACGCAAACACAAGCTTTGAAGCATCCGAGCCAAAATAGCAGACAAGCATTTCTGAAGGTGTGGTACAGCTCGAATGAAGCAGTTGTTTTACACTTTTATCTATCTATATGAAGGATTTCGAAAACCAGAAAGTGTTCTGGTGGATTGGTTCTGGTAAATTGAGTGAACTTAATATCTTGACCAGCTTTCAAAGATGTTACTTCAAAAATTCTGATTTTTTCCAAGGTAATCAAATCAAAGCGAGGTCCGTTTTCGATACTGATATGGACTGGTGTACATACAACACACCAATTTTGAGTCAGTGACAAAGTGGTGAGTTACGCATTTTTCAGGGTGCGCCTACAATTTTGGTTTACAGCACTGTATGTTCATTTGAAACTTTTCGTCCGCCACCATTGACTGCATCGCTGGTCTTTGATAGATATACAATAGACCCACGCGAGCAGAGTAGACGATGGGGAGCTTGAGTGCAACATTGGGTCCACTCTGAAAGATATCTATGTCTACTGTGTACTCCTATTCGTTCGCACTTCAAGATTATCCAGCCGTCCAATTATAGGCAATGCCCCGGTAAGGTCGAAGATCCTTCAGGTTTTGATACGCGATAGTGGATCCCCTCGGATACGCCGTAGCGCAAGTGCGAGTCCATAACGTTTGACCAAAAGCACGAGATGCGTTCGAGAAGTTGGGAAACTAATGCACTGGTGGAAGGTCCCGTCCAGCGTCCACCTGCAGATTTCATTCTCTATGTCAAAGTGCGCATGCCGCCACAATTGAGGTCGTAAGGTCCGCAGCGACTCTGCATCTCTGTTTTGGGCTGGAATTGTTCCAATCCAAATTTATATTGTATCGCTTTGGAAAGAGAATGTTCTTGCCGTTTTCGCACTCTCTCACTCAAATTTTCGGACTCAGCCATACCTTCGATAGCCTAGAACAGGGTCTCAAAACTGAAGGTTGTTTAGTTACCTGCCCTCTTTAAAGTGGTTATCCATACAGAACCAGAGAAGAAAATAGATGCAAAACATTTAGTAAAACCAAAGGTGCAATAAGTTCAAATTCTTTTATTTGGCGGCTTTCAATATGCAGGTTTTCGCTCACCACGTAATCCACAACACGGAAAGAACGAGGACAAGCTAGTTTTTTCTTTGTGTTTATCTCAAAAATAACCATGTCTCGGAAGTAACGATTATCAAGAGAAGATGAACAAGAAAAAGTAGTTTTGGAAAACGCAGAGTTTTGTTCTTACCAAGTCGAAGTGCGCGTCAAAGCCGATTTAATTTTTGATGCGTCCTTTGGATTTTTACCACGCATTGTGCTTTTCGTTTTCTGGAACATTGTCTAAATTATTGCGCTCATTATTCTCAGCAATGATCGCCCAAGCTGGAAAAAAGTCGCTGCGAAAGCACTGGAACAGAACAAGGTGAAGATAAGCGCACTTTTTTTTACAATTTAGAACAAAAATTCCGCCTCAATCGAAGAGCTAAACCCTGGTTTTCGTTGTCTGCATATTGAACAAATGCAAAATCTATAGAATGCAGAAACGCGTGAAAAGAGTTGAACTAAGGGAAAAACAGAAGATTCTCAAAACAAGGTTTCTGCCGGATTTCTCGTTCAAATTAAAAATGTGGTTTTGGAACAGTGTCAGCGTGAAAGTAGAGATCAATTGCTTCAATACGATATATAGCTAGCTTCCTAAAATTGGGTTCGAAACGACAAAGAAAGGGGTAGCAAAGCCAAATGCCCCGTGCCCCGCGTCTGGGGTAGCGGGGTAGCTCGCAGCACGCGGAGAGGCAGACGAGCAGCAGAGACAGATCAGAGCCGACGGGGCATCTGGCTTTGGTCGTAGTTCTCCGCGGGGTCTCAACGAAACCCTGCAACATTATATCATTCTGATTGTCATGACATGACGAGAAAGCACGCTGAAACGTTAAAAATCACTCATTAACGAGACAGACCAGCTGTAGTGCGCGAGTCTCAGATTTAAGCGCAGTCCGCGTTTTTACTCAACTCCAACAGTCTGTCTTCTCCAAACTTCTGAAACTCAATTTTGGTCAGATAAAAGGTTATTTGAGAGATGTCCTAAATTCTGGAGTAACGTTAACCTTCCAATTAGCATAAAATATGCTATAAAAAGGCAAATTCTCGGTTTTGCTGAGATAAGGTAAAGATGATATTTCCTATATTTGCTTCACTCACATTCATCGATATAGTCAAAATTATAACATCCGGGCCTTCGCCTCGGATGGCTTTCTGTTTTTTTAGGTGAAGGCTGTGTTCTGTCACGGCGCTCAAATAGAAGGTTACCAGAGGACATGGCTCTATGCATCGAGAGTATGGATTCAGCGTTGCGGACTCCAGGTAAGTGAATTTTCTAGAAATCGAGTTTCTGCCCGGACACTCCTGGTACAAGATGCGTAGATCCTATCTCCTGCACAGTTTTTGACCACCAGCATGAGCGAAAGGTTGTTACGAGGTGTTATAGACGATCACGAGGTGTTATAGACGACCACTTCTGTTCAAAAATTCATCCGCCGACTATTGTGATGTTTTCTGTTGTGTTAATGATTAATAATTGTCAACTGTCATAGTATGATCTGCAATCGCAATAGTCAATTAGGATTGCCACTAAGTACGGGAAATGAGCATCGTAAAAGGGACTTACTTTTAGCCAATGTCATGTTCACAGTTTGGCTTCATTTTTGCTTACCTAGTTCCTCTGGTAAATATTGCTCTTTCTCCTTTTGCGAAGGACAAAGATCTCGAATGTGTCCGAGGAAGCAAACACAACAATTCTTTCAGAGCGCGTTTTGACGGCAAGTGATCAACGCATATAAAAGGGTGAGGGAACTTATCCACCCAAAGACTGGCTGCGACGTAGGTATAGGCCGTATAGGAGGCCATAAACCCTCAACAATGCTAATTAGTACCTAGCTTGTACAGAGCTGATTTCTCCATACAATAGCTTTTTCTCATCCTGTTAAACATGAAAAGATTTCATTGGAATTACGAACCCAATTCAACAGCGACTTTTGTTCAATTGGGATAAAAATTAATATTTTTTCTGCTGTGATGTTCCGAATGTGCTTTGCTCAACAACAAAAAAAGATATTCAGTCGAGGACGAAGTCAACTTCAGAATTAGGATTTTGGTGTGGTTTCACTCTTCACTTTCGGAATCAAAATATAAGTATATTGGTTGACTGGGAAACCGGTTTTTTGAATACATTAGATTATTTCCGGTTTCTGTTTGGTTTTTGTTTCCCACTTTTTCCGGTTTCATATTCAAAAGAGTTCATGTCAAAAATATCCAAAAATTTCGAGTAAAACACCTGCACATTTGGAAACATTATGAAGAGATCCTAAATAGTATCTTTAGAATTTGGAGTGAAATTTACACAGTAAATTTGTAACCGGGGGGTCTAGTGGTATAACGGTTTCAACCGGATCGATAGACTACACGGATCGAACGACTAATAATTTATCTCAGAGAAAGGCAATGAACAACAATAAAACAAGAACGTGTAACTTGTACAGGCTTAACAACGAAACAGCGGGCTTTACCCTCTTTGACCTCTTCGGCAGGCTTACTAAATACTTTCTATCTAAGGGGGAGATTCGCCTCTCTTCGACGGAGTTAGCTCCCCTAGCGCTTCCTCAACGCGGACTGAGGCCTCCCCCTGACTCTCGGTATTTATACCCTGCCGAAGGGGTCAACGCGGGCTTTTCTTCCCGCCCTGAAGATCAGTAGGTCGGTGATCCGCGCCCTTTGACATCCCTCCCCTCCGGGGAGCCGACGTCCTCGGCGGCTGCTGCCACTTGCTGAGCTTTGCGCCGGGAACTCTCCTGCAAATGACGTTGTAGAAGAATCGCGCATATTCATCCCTGAAATGCGTGTCGAATACCTGAAAAGAATTTTGGGGTCCATCTACTCCCATGGTCACTCTATTTTCTGTCCTTGAGGGAGCCAACGTGAACAACTGATTTGGGTTTGACCATTTTTTCAGTACTGATTCGATCACCGTCCACACTTTTGACTTCGTTTTCCACATATCAATCTTCTTGAACAATGGTGGCGGCCACACGGATACAATCTTTCCTCCTTCTTCGAGGTACTTCTTGCATATCCGCAGTGTCTCAATGATAGTCCTCCCTTCTCGGATTCATGGGCCATACTATGATCCACATACGACAGTTTTTCAAGTATTTCAACGCTTCTTTAAGTTGACTAAATGATACTGCCACCTTGGTCAGTACTCCACACTTCTTCAGCCCAACTTCCTCAAGTGCTGCTGCACGTCTTGGTGCAATAAATGCAACAGGACGTTCCTTCTCAGAACTGTGTCCTTCCTTACTGCGTGCCTTTATAACTTTGACTCCTTTCTGTGCCTCTCCGCACATTTTTCGATCACTTCTGGAAGGAGTGTGCTTTTTGCTGCCCTTCCTACATGTCGACTTCTTCCACTTGCGCTCACAAGCTTTCCCTGGCCAGATTCCTTTGTCTGCTTTGACGTCTCTTTTTCTCTCAATGAAAGTTTTCTTGTTGACCGTTACAGACCTGTCCCTCTTTGAGATAGGTCTGTTCACGGTTATGGTCCCTTGTTGGATCTTCGCTCTTACTGAGGCGGTGTCTGTCTTGCGTGGAGGCACCATACTAGGCATTGGTTTTACTTTGACTTTAGGCTTCTTGTGTATCACTACTTCCACCCCTAGACTCTTCAATGCAATTGTGCCAATGAGTACTTCCTCATTCGTATCGTCGGAAACATGGAAAGCCACTTCCTTCTTGCATCCTCCTCCTAGTTCTACTTCTACTTTTACACCTCCGCGAAAGCTCATCACATGGTTGCATCGTATATGCTTCCTTCCACAATTTCGAAAGTCTGAAGTGACTCGACATCGTACCCATTATTCCTCGCTTCTATAAGCACTTTCACGGGTAGTATACTTATCACTGAACCCGTGTCTAGAAGTGTCGAAACCTTTGGGTTCTCGAGACAGGGATTTTTGGGGGTTTCGCGGATTTTCGAGCGGATTTTCGACTCCATATTCGAAATCAGGGCTTTCAGAAGGACTGGAGGCGACAAAAACATTGAATTCGAGATTTTGGGTGGACGGTGCCTCTAAAGGAATTGTCCAGGTCAACTTGGGGGTACTGGGATCTTGACACAGTGTGAGAGCACGGCTCCTGACTAACGCAACAGTTCAAGTGCGATTAAAGGTGCAGTCTGAAGCGAGAAAATCGCTTCGGACGAGTTCGGAAAAAAGGGGGGCGGTACTCCAATCCCGCCCCCTTGACAAGTATTGACGTGGCCAATACACTAATTTTGAGCATTCGCCACGCCAAAACTTGTCAAGAAAGCGGGATTGGAGTACCGCCCCCTTTTTTCCGAACTCGTCCGAAGCGATTTTCTCGCTTCAGATTCCACCTTTTTCAATCGCACTTGAACTGTTGCGTTAGTCAGGAGCCGTGCTCTTACACTGTCAAGATCCCAGTACCCCCAAGTTGACCTGAACAATGCCTTTAAGGAACATGCGCTTAAGGCCAGAGGTTGCGGACTTCTGTGTCGCCCTCGAGAACCTAGCAAGGAAGGCCAATCCTCAATGTACTATTGAGAAAAGATCAATGGAGTACGCACAGATTCTGCTGGAGAATCTGACATCATGGCCGGCGTACGTACAGCTGTGGGAACCCTACACCAGGTGGACCCAACTGAGGCATATAACAGAATAAAGGAAGTCGCGATTGAGATCGAACAATCGCGAAGCTTTTGCAAATTTGAGAGGAGGAGTGAACAGCAAGCTCTGTCCTGGTGGAAAGCACGTAGAAATAAAGGCTATGGGGTGTAGGCCCTTTTGAACCTGCTCCATTCGCAACATTACTGATAGGTCAGTGCGCTACGGAGGTCGCGCCTTGATTGGCTGTCGTGGCAAAGCGAGCGGTTGACCTACGAGGACGCGTTGCGAGCGCGGACGCGTTTCCCGCCGCTGGCTGTTCCGACAAGAGGCATTTTGAAAACGTTCTTCCTTCATTATGTTTCCTATGTTTGTTTTACTGATTACTCTCTTGATTTTGTTCATTTGATGTACATATATAATAACACTAATTTTTCACAGGTACTAGAGAAAAAGAGGAATTCAATGTTTCGACGGTGAGTTCTCAGCCATTTTTTCTTTTTTTGTCCTGGTCATTAGTATTATAGGTTTTCATTATCGTTCCCTTAGTGCTACTAACAATAAGAACATTTTCCACCCCGCTTGCTTCCATATTCGTCCACTGCATATTAGGGTAAGTGCCACAGTTATGTTATTTCTTTATATTTCTTCATTTTTGTTTTCATGAATTTCAGATATGTTTTCTATACAAGTCGTCATCCTTATCGCTCTACTCTTCCCAGCTGTGATGGTTTTGTAATGCAATGTCGGTTTGTACTACCCTTTCCTATCTACTTGTATGTCTACAGAGTTATGCTTCCTCACAACGATCTCTTTAAGCTTATTACCGTAGTTTTTTTTGTTCAGAAGTGGTTTTTGTTCCGCATTGTTTTTGCTTTTGTCTCGCATATCTTTCTTTTTAGCTTCGGCTGCCATTTTTTATTGTATGCTCGTGGCCTCAATAAATTTCATCGTTTACAATGCCATTTCTACAAAGAACACTTAGAAGCAAACATAGGAAAGGTACAGAAACTGAGAATCAGTCTTTTCTACTTTCATTTCTTTTTGCCTAATTTGCGCAATCAATAAGTGTGATGCCGGCTACTTTCGTGTTTGGCGATTTGACTGAACCTGAATTCCGGTACACTTTTGTTGATAAAAGACCGAAACACGCGTTAAAATAAGATGTGAGCAGATGAATTCCGGGATTCCGTCCAGCACCTTCTCGACTATAAGATGAAGGGGCATGCAGTAACCATCAAAGCTCACTTATCTGTTCTTTGTTGTGTTACTTCTAGTTACTGCTAAAGATGTTTGAGGAAAAAAGAATGGTTTCGCAAAGAAGATCCATTTTCGAGCCGATACTCAAGCAAATGAGTTGCAACATTTCTCAGGCAGATTATCGACATATCGATGCTTTATGTGTTGCAAAAAGGGTAGAGGACTATGTGTCGCCGAAAGTGAGAGGGTGCGCGGACAATGCAGAAGATACTCAGCCTGTGTATGTATCGACATGTGTATTTGTTGCAGATGTGCGGCAGGACCTCTCACTTTCGGTGACATAGAGTCCCCTACCCTTGCAAAAATAGTGCTTGGCACACTTTCTCATTCTATATCATCCAAATCCTGAATCAAAATATTGCACTTGCATAACTCCCAAAAAACCTCTGGGAATGCCAGCTTGACTAGACTGAATCAAAAAAGCATAAAAATAAGCACACATAGTGCGCCGAAGTACGTGATGTATAAAGCAAGATTAGCATTCAAGGAACAAACTTAAGAGGTTTCATCGACTCCATGATTCGTGTAGAGGTGGGGTTTTGCCAACTCAAAACGTGGCGGTTTTTGATAGCGAGAGAGTACGAAAAACAATGCCATGACGTGGAGGTTTAACAAGTTCAACCTTAAAATCAGGGAAAGTCCGCAACCCGCCTCTATACGAATCGTGGAGACGATCATAGTTCTATATTGTCAAATACTGGATTCCACGAGAAATCCGACAATATTCTTCATATGAAACTGTTGCTATCACATAGATATTTGGTATGTAGAAATAACAATCACTATGAGACCCCTGTAGAAGCAGTAATTCTATTACGAAAGCTGGATTACTTATAACACACAAGATATAACAAACAGCATAAGCGTAAGCGAATACACCCAGGTGTTATGGTTGTGAAAATGTAAAAAAAGCAGCCTTCCAAGCAATACGCCATGTAACCCATTGTGCTTTCCCTCCAAAGCATCATGCAGTTCACAGTGACAATGAATGTGACAATGCACGATGCCGAAGGGATACAGAATGGCAAAGAGCATAATTTCAAAAAGAAAAACCTATCTAAATGAAGAAGCAAAAAAAGGATGTCTCATACAAAAACAATCAAGAATTATTATCGGTACGAAAACATACCTGAACTATATCTACCAGCCCAAGCTGCAGTTTAGGATAATATAATACAACAAGTATTTTGCAGTTTCTTAGATGGCAGTGTACAGAAAATCATTCAGTTGATGGTAATCGATGTTGGACTTTCGAAAATGCACGCGTAAGCAGAAACTCGTCCATTACGCACACGCAGCGCAATCGCCCGCGCCCTAATTTTATTACTGTAGCGCACTGTAGGGTTCAGAAGGGCCGTCTCCCAGGCTATGTGCCACTGACACAAAGTCGAAGCAGCTTAGCGGAGAGAGGCCAAAGGGAAGATGGTATGGGAAGGCAGGAGCCAAGTAGCTCGGGTGCCTATAATGAGGATCAGGAAGATAAAAGATGCTTTAAATGTGATCACTTCGGACATGTGATAAAAGATTGTAACTGCAAGGAAACGGAGAATGGAAGCGCTATAAAGGCTTCGAATGGAGTGACATCAATGATAAGTAGGGGCTGGAACATGGTCGTAAAGAGCTCCCAATCCAACGCATACTTGTTGGCAGGATTACATTGACTCAAGCGAGAATGTTGGAAGCAACAAGCGCAGGCGATATAAAGCATGCAAGTGGAGTTTGTTACTTCCGGAGCGGATTTCTCGCTCCAGAAGCAGTCTTTTGCGGCGAAGCTTGGAGGTTTGTCTAGTATGGGGACCCACACTAGTATGCCATCATAACCTCGCCAACCTCCATTTTGGGTGGACGGTGCCTTCAAGGCTGTCAGCGCCTTTAACCTAGCTGCTGTGGAGTCACAGGCCAGTAATGAAGCCATCTCCCTCACTACTCTATCAAAGCCTTGCTGTCTTACCCTCATGGGTATGCTCAGAAATAAGGACTTTGCCCTTCCTTCCAAGTGTTTTCATCACCCAGGACCTCTATCAGCAACTGTTCATCCTGGACCATGGTACCATACTTTCTTTTGAACTTCCGAATGAATCTGTCAAAGTCCTCATTACAGCCCTTGAAGACTCCAGGATCAGGAAAAGTCATGCTTTGAAAATAGCTGAGCAACTGATCTTCCACACCTCGGTGAATGTCGAGTGGCCCGACATCCGACTCAACACACTGCCTTCCCTTACTGCAACTGCCGTTGCTCTGGGACCGAGTATCTGGTTTAACTCGGCTGTTAGGTTCTTCAGCCTACCTATGTGGCTACCTTTGCCTCCAACTCTTCTTCAAGTGGCAATCCATCAACCGGTATCCTACATCGGCTAAGGATCTTGCTTACCATCCCAGGTATCTAGCATTTCCACTTCTTTTCTGATGAGGCTTATCTCCTCCATCATCAAGTGTGCTTTTCTCTCATGGACATCATCTGCACATCTTTGCTTCTGATTCATATCCATGAACATAAATGTAGTCGGCAGCGAAATGCTTCGCCTTGCCTTTACATTCAGCGGTAATCAACGCCGCACGCGAAATTGCTCGATAATGGGATTATGAAGCCAAAGCAATCAATAAAGATTGTATGGGAATTGATGTGTATGACACAATATGATGTTGATACTGCACGATAAGCTTGAGGTTTTCTTTCCAGTTGATCTTAGATCTGGCCTTCTTGGCCTGTTACGTATGCCACCTGTTCGATGCCGTATAGATTTCCCAACTTTTTGGTCTTTTGGTTTCGCCTTCTTGGCCTGTTCTACGCGTTCTATGCTGTCTTGCCTTAGAGACAGTCGATATCAGTCGCCCCGTGTGTATTTCAATCGATCCGAGTATGCTCGGCCCCCATGTAACCGGGGGTGGTCTAGTGGTATAACGATTTCAACTGGATTGATAGACTACACGGATCGAACGACTAATACTTTATCTCAGAAAAACGGCAACGAACAACAAGAAACAAGAATGCGTAACTTGAACAAGCTTAACAACGAAACAGCGGGCTTTACCCTCTTTGACCTCTTCGGCAGGTTGAGTTGACTGGAAGAACTCTCTATCTAAGGGGGAGATCCTCCTCTCTTCGACGGAGTTAGCTCCCGCTAGCGCTTCCTCAGCGCGGACTGAGACCTCCTCCTGACTCTCGGTATTTATACCCTGCCGAAGGGGTCAGCGCGGGCTTTTCTTCCCGTCACTGAAGATCGGTAGGTCGGTGATCCGCGCCCTCTGACAAATTTATATTTCAGTAAAATTGCAAGGTCAAGCAAGATCACCAAAATATTCGGAACTATGGCGATAGAGAACCTCTGAATAACAATTTTTATCCCAATCGATAAAAATCATTTGAAGTTTGAGTTCGGAATCAATGAAAACGCTTTTCATGCATTGTACGACGAGGGGGAGACGGTCAAGAGGCGCGATTTCTCCGGCTGTCACTAGCTTACTCCTTTTGAATGCTATGCGAGTCCTCAAAAAGCACCAGATAAAGTGCATTAGCTTACTATCTGTCTGACATTACTAATTGCTGAACTTGGTGGCTGCTTGAATATGGACCGAAATTATTACAAATTTGTTCTCAACTGCATTTTCATGGGTTTTTGACCTTCAAGTTGCTGTTCTAAACCGATTTCAAGGTATTAAGATTGAACAACCCATGTAACTAGCTGGTACGTCTCCCTTTGGGATTTGATTACTTTTAGAAAGTCATATAACACTTGTTATGTGCTATTTGGTGTCCATCTTGCGATAAAAATCGAGCCTCTTGACACAACTCATAATTATCATTCACTAGCTGGCTTACCCGGCTCCGCCGTATGTTCCGAATAGAAAATTCCATTTCTTAACCGATCCGGACCAAACTTGGCACACATACACTTCGGGCCCCGGCGGGTGTCACAGTCCACTTTTCGTTACCGATCGATGTCGATTTTATCGATTTTCTGCAAAATTTGAGCTAGGGGGCTGGAATTAAGCAGAGGGGTGTAATCGCACCCCCACGGGAGTGATCAGCATGCTCGATTACCCCCCTGTGCCAACACCCAGCCCCGTAGCTCAAATTTTGCAAAAAATCGATAAAATCGATATCGATCGATGACGAAAAGTAGCATATGACACCCGCCGGGGCCCGATGTGTATGTGTGCCAAGTTTGGTCCGGATCGGTTCAGAAATGGAATTTTCTATTCGGAACATACGTACAGACAGACAGACAGACATACAGACAGACAGACAAACAGACATTCAGCTTTATATATAAGATTCTATGACTAGGAGACGCGAGACCGCATTGCACGCATTGTCTAAACAAGCCTAATCGTGTACTTAGCAGGTTTATGCCTGTTATATTCATCTTCCAGGTTTATTCACACTTTGGAAACAGCAAAAACAAACTCAAACTTGTTAAAACAACATCGTAATGTTCTCGTTAGAATAAATGATACGTGGCGGCAAGACTTGGGAAGCATAATGATAAAGAAATGGGTTTCTGTTTCGCCTCTGCCCCTAGACAGGTAGTGTGTTATGCAATCACTCCCGAGGCATAAGTTCTCCGCTCCTACATAAAAAAAGAAGTGACGCCCGTGACAGGCGCATCAGGACCCATCCACCAACGGCCCGCGCGCTGGTGTTCAAAGCTATTAGTCGCGGGCGATTAGACTTTACGCAGCCTGTACCGACGTTACTGCAATCGTAACGGTGTATCAGACGCAATGCTTCCTCTTTTTTCTGTCCATAAGTTAGAGTTTCTCTACTATGAGCCATTCGCAGATATAGGCTGCTGCATGACGAAGGCGCAATTTCTTCGGGTGCGAACGCGGGTTTATTGGCCGCAGAGCGCATGAGGCGCAGGATTTACAACCTGAGAATACGCGCGCGCCGCGTTTGCGCCCGCTTAACTAATACTGCTTCTACGCCTTCTCCTGCAGTAGCCCTTACATCTAGCATCACTGGGAAGGAGTAGCGGCAGGTATATAATGTACAAGTACTATGTTCTTTTGATACAGCCTAAAAACAGCCTCGTTCCCAATGCCTGGTACTTTCACCGATCAAAACAAGCTCCGCGTTCAAACATTTCAACCGACTTCATGATTCGTACTTGAAAGATTTGATTTTTCAGCGGAAGCATGCACTCAAAACTCTTTCTGGGGAATCACTTGGCGCTGAATACAGGTTGTGCTGAGGCCGGATCTGATCCCCGGCCTCAGCACCCCCTGTCAATCAATTCGCGCGCCAAAACCCAAGTATTTTAGGCGGCGCACAGTGATCGACTTCGGATCTTCTCAATCGTCAATTTCTTCGTCGACCGTGGATTCATACCTTGCTGTCACTTTGTCTTGCATAACTTCGAGGTATACTGGCACATATGCTTTTGCTCTCATTGTTCACATCTCATACTTGCACATATTTTTGGTTCATTAGTTCCAGTTTACCTTTTGCAACTATTCGCTGTTTCTATAGTACTCAGTAGTGTTCATATGTTATTTGTTGAGTTTATTTGCTGTTTCTTATCGTGTACTCAGGTCTTTGTGCCTCATACTTACCGTGAAGTGCTTATCCTTATACTGGTGCCCATTATGATACTCAAAGTTCGACTAGATTTGCATTACGCCTCGTATTTTGTTTCGCATGTTTTGTTGTTGTTAATTAATGGTAAATAAAGGGTTTAATTACCCAAGTTTGAGGTGTGTGTCTACGGCGGTTGCTATCCGCGACTACTTCAAGCCGATTTGGTATTCCTAGTTCTGTCATTCGTTCACTATTCATTCAGTTTCGCGCCCCAGCCTCAGCTACGAAAGACCCGCGTGGCACACGAAGCGCTCAGACATCCGAAGGCCCAGTTTCAACGAAGCCGGTGAAAGGTGGGATTTCAGTAACCCTTTCACTTCTTCTTTTTTTCTTCTTTCCGAGTTTTTTGGTCAATTTTTGAGTACGGGGTCCCCCTCGCTCTCCCCCTTTGGTACCCGGGACCCAACTCACAGGTCACGCTGCTTTCGATGGCAGCTCAATTCAGACAGCCATTACAATTTTGGTCCCTTCCCGTTGTGACAGCAGCATGGTATTCAGCATGGCCCCTGACTGGTGGTACGCAAGATATCCCTATAGCTTTGCCTTCTTCGCTTCTAGCTCTGATTATCATAATCACTTCTTCTTCTTCTTTGCCAACTCATATCTACTGCTCGATTAATCTTTGCTAAAGCACTTGCAAGCTATACCTTTACACACTTCAAGAGGTGAATGGTAAGCTTTAATGGTGAAGATTCGCGTTCTGTTTATTTCACCATCTTTACAACCTTGGCCATATCTCACGCAATTTTAATCGCGACGCGATTTTTACTCCAACTCCTAACTAATCTTGCGCGCACAAGTGGGGAGCGAATAGGACATTTTATCAGTCTAGAAGGTACAGACCATGAATTTGCGGTCTACCGTTGTTGAAAGAATACATCTGGCAAATTGCCAGATGCCCTCAAACCAGGGCTCAGCACAGCTGGCACCGGGTCAAGCTGGATATCGTTTTTATGGCGGAAAACAAAGGGGATATATTACAGGGGCCGAGGCGGAGAACTGCTGCAAAAATGCCGCCGGCATGCCACCGGCATGCCATTGGCAAGCTGTCCAACAACAAACAAAGGCGTTGTTTTCAGCCAAAACGCAATAGTATGACACCAAATTTGGTGTGTGCATGCGCGTTGGTGGACCGGAACTATGGGCCAAAAATTTATGAAAACTTATGTGAATGAAAGCTGTGCCTAACTTTTTTCTGAATTAGCTGGCACCGTGCCAGCTGGGTGCCAGCTGAGCTGGCACCGACACTTTGGTCGCATAAGTTTTCATACTTTTCTATATAAAATGTATCTACACTGTAAAAGATTACATACGGAGAAGAAACGGTTTCATAATGTTCTCTTTTCAGCGTTTTATAGCAATTTGAAAACCACTCGGCCCGCTTCGCAGTCGAAAAATCGGCTTTTCTTCTTCTCAAGATGTGAATCGACCACTTAAAAAGCTCAAAAAGCTGTGAAAAGCTCTTTCATGAAATCAGAAATGCATGACAACACTAGTACATTTTTTTACATAATATAAAAAGATGACGGGTTTTCAAAACAGGTCAAAAGGGAATTCGTACGAAATTTTCAACATCAAACGGGACTTCGTTTTGAAATTTTCCTGGTGCCAGCTCGTGCCGAGCCCTGCCTCAAACTGACCAATGATATCGCTTGATCAGTCGCGTACGAGCAGCCCCCCCCCTCGAAAATAGGCCGCTAAATTTTTGAAAATTTACGTTTATGTGCAAGCAACTGTTTATACTTGTAAATAATTGATACAATTTTTAAAAACTCTTCAAAATTCAGCCCGCAAAATTTTTAGAAGCATACCAAAAATTCTTTCGGAATGTGTGCTGATGCCACCAACTTCACCAGAGAGAAGTTTTTGTCGCCCCTCCCCCCTCCCACCGAACAGAAATCCAGAGTACGCCAGTGAGGTATGGCCAAGACCTAAGATTCATTTTTCAGTGGGCTTATTATTATCGATTGCGATTGAATAAAGTTCCTGACCTTTCCACTGTGTTCGACCTCAATCTATAAGAGCTGAAGAAAAGGGGTCCAGTCTTTTCTTTACATGATGGAAATTTTACGGATAAGCGCCATTTCGAGACAAGCCCCGGCGAAAAAAAGAAACTATTTCTCTCAATCGAATGTTTGAAAACAATCGTAATAGCTTAGACTATAAATCATTTATTTTCTTACCGACAAAACTTCACAATCGAAAATGTGTTTAGCACTAAATCATTTATTACAAACTGATGACTTAATTCAATACTTTTTTGAACATCTGTAACTCGTACAAACTTCGAGAATTTTCAAGTACTTCAACAGACGCATCATCATCTTGTCTACAGTTATTCTTGAAACTGTTGCATGTAGAGATCAAAATAATTACTTACAAAAAAAACACTGTACAACAAGAAGGAACGTCTGCCAAAATTATTTATACTGGATATTGCAACCAGTAGTGATTACCCCAGTGAGACATTAGAAACACTTTTAAGTGAGAAACGAACATTGAACACTGAAGACAGATGAGAATCATGAGCTATGTAATGCGATATAAAGCAGTGGTAGCACTTTGCCATAGTTTTGATTATTCAAAGTAAATCGGTAGCGAACTAATTTTGATCACATATCTATCGGGATTGAACTGAAAATGCTATGAAAAAATATCTCTGTGTCGGGTGTGATAACACAAGACCGCTAACACATGAACTGTACACGTAAAAGAACAGCAGTCAGAAGAAGATCAGCTGCTTAGAGCACTTTAAACAGGTATTTCAGAGATAAAGAGGAACATGTGATGAGAGAAAAGACCAATGAATTACCTGAAGAAGCCCAAGCATAAACAACCTATATACTGTTGTTTATGTTGGTGTAACCTGAGAATTAGGCGAATCCACCGGAAACCCCTCTGACATTAGAAACTCGGTAACGTCATCCCATGAATGCGACACATCTAGCGAAAGTTGACAATCCATCGGCGCAGTGGTGTCTGTCAGAAAATGACGAGCGTCATTTTGAGGCATGGGACTAGCTGCTGATGATTCATCGCCAAGTGGTGAACCAACCGAGGATGCAGAACCCATGAACGAGCTAGTCTCATAGAGAGGAGCTGGTCCTGAAAGAGTCACAGGAATAAAATCCATGCAGAAGCTTAGTCATTAAGTGTGAATGATACACAACTGAATCTGATGTATTCTTCTAAAGGTGTAGGAGTAGAAAAGTGTTGGCTACTGAAGGCTCAAAGAATAAATCAGCGACAGTCATCGATGCATGTTTGCAAGTAAGCAAAGTAGTCTCAAAATCGTGCCTATCTAAGCCATATTCTAGTTCAGCTGTATATAGTCGTCTTACTTTCACAACATCACCGTCGCAACCGCGCCGCAGCCGCACACAACGCCAGAGTTATCAGCAGGAAGGCCAAATTTTGATGTTGCTTTTGAGTTTGCTCTATTTGTTAGTAAGAATGGAGCTCTAAAACGAGCCGGATGGAGCAGGGTAACTGTAGAGGATGCTGCAGACTAAGATCGCGTCTATAGTGATATTGCGGCACGGTGAGGAAAATCTTGAACAAACTACAGACTCAGTCTAATGAAGATCAAGCTATAGTCGACATGAAAACGAAAATCAAGGGGAACAAAAAAATGATATAAGCTGAAAAAACCAAACTCTGCTTACCGTATTTATCCTCCCTTGACTGCCTATGTATCGAACACTTGCCATCCCAAAGCAACGCATCAATCGAGTTCACAGGTCGACGACAAAAAGACTGCGTGCAAAAAGAGAACAGCCGTTGGTTGACATTGTAAAGAACATGCTGGGCACAATGGTTGGACATAGGTAAGCAAGCTCTTTCGCACCTGAGAATCAGAATCAAATCACAAAGTCTTATGATTCAAAAACAATTTGACTTACCGCTGCTTATTTGTGCTGTCCAATTGACAACACCTTCGCAGAGCCGCTGGCGCCAGCTGTAACGGTGGCGGTGATGGGTCTGAACGTTGACGCAGAGCTGCGCCAACGCTTAACGGAAGCCTTCGCGATGCGCACATGATGTGTGCATTCAGCTGGGCCTAAGAAAAAGATCCTTACTTCAACGAGGAAATAAACAGATTTCTAGTACATACCTGCTTCAACAACGCATGTCTCTCCAAACGCAACTGCTTCTTGATGAGGTAAAGTTGCGTGGATAGATCACCAGAGTAGCTAGAGACAGCAAGACTGGCAGTGGGAAGTACAGATGACGATGGATACGTGGAGTCTTCGTCATCAGATGGTTCCAATCCTTCAGAAGAAACCGAATATAGAAGAAAAAGGTGGATTTACCATTGAAACTAATTACCTAGCGGGAACAAATCGGTCTTGTCGTAGTCAGCATCTTCAACAGCACGACACATAGAATCGATTTCTGGTATAGCACGGTAGATTCCGACCATCCGCCGCCGTTGTCGTTTCATTCGAAGACGAATGACCTACAAGACAATCCACATGTAAGCTGTATTAAGAAGAGAAGATTGTCACAGCTGCGGCTGCTCAGGTCCTCGGAGCCGCCTCGCTCGCGCCCTGCGTCGCATTCTCGACCGTATCCTTTGTGCACTTTCAAGCTCGCCAGTCTTCAGACTTTGCTAAGGCGTCGGAAAATGCCCAGAGGATACGTTTGCAAACACGGTGTAAGCTCCGAGCGAAGCGGCGACGGAGACTTGAGCCGCTGAAGCTGTGACACTCAGATTGATACAGTCTACATTCTCAGATACGAAATTATTGAGCTTCATTTCCCACCTTATTTCCATTGTTGTTCTTGCTCTCCTCTTCATCGCTCGATGGTGGTGTCCGTCGAGCTATGGGTGGTGCATTCCAAGGAAGAGGTTGGTTTTGACGTGCAATAGCCGCTGCAAGTGCAGCAGCATAACGCGAGTTGCGCGCATTTCGCACACCACCTTCGAGCAGCTAAAAAAATTACCACTCAATAAAAATCATAAAGAGAAAGTATAGGGACCACGATGTCCATAAAATTTTACAGTGCATGCAACGAACCGAAAAGTTATAAGAACTGCCAACCTTCGCAGCCAGCTGTGGATGGTTTCGTTGTATAGCGGTCGTCGACAGTGATCGACTGCGTAATGCTTGCGCCCGTAGTGCAGCCAAAGTACCGGGTGGAAGCTGTCGCTGAGAATGTTAGCAAACAGGTAACACAACACCTCAAATAGAAATACCTGATTGACATTAATTCGCTGCTGCATTGGCTGCTGTTGTGGTATTTGCTGCAATTGTTGCTGTTGGACTATCAACGGCTGCTGCTGAGTCACCACGGCAGCAGGAATAGTCATCGGGATTCGTTGCACTTGGGCAAGCTGAGGTGCTAATTGAGGGTCCATAGCGAGAGGTGGTGGTCCCATTTGCGGCTGGAGGCATTGCTGATCCACTACTGGATATGGAGCCATTTGCGGTTGCTGCATAACTATCCGAGCTTCTTGCACAGGAGGCACTTGCTGAGGTAACACCGTCACTGGATTGTTGGAGACTTCTGTAATAATAGCTTTGACTGAAGTCACAAATGGTTACCAAAAGAAAAAACGAAATTCATGTAAAAATATGAGATGAGAAATTGTAACTTCGACTTTAGAGTATTCTTGTCACATCTCCATAGATTATTGGTTTCCCATTCCTAGTCTACAACAATACCAAATAAGAAATGGTGAATCCCATTCAAACGTGACTAAAACTAAGCGCGTACTAAACTGTGTAATACGCGTAGCTATATTGACGAACTTGTCGTAAACACTTTATGCTTCGTAAGAGCGTGAAGCATAACATCCATTTGCCACTGTTTTCAAGGCAGATGCAAACATATGACTAATAAGGGAAGCCTCTTTAGAAGTAGCCCTTACGAATGTGATCTACACCATTCTGAAGAGCATCGGACGCTGATTCCAACTCTGTTATGGGCATCTGCCAAGCGCCTCTGGACGCTGAGTTATAAGCGTTTCTGGGAGAAGGCACCGACCACATAAATTGAAGATGGTGAGGTTCTGATGGCGTATGATAGCAGAGCCCTTACTAAGTGATCGGCCAAGTTTCGATGCAGAAGATGAATTCCGAAGCAAGAAAATTGCTCCAGAAGGTGCAAGCGGAGATCGGAGATCGGAGGGAGGAGATTCTGAGCCACTTGTACCTTCCGTAGCAGTCATCTCGCTTCGAATTTCATCTTTTGCAAAGGAACTTGGGCGACTACTCAACTAGAAGGTCTACTATTAGGTTGTCAAGAAAATAATGCCCGTTTTTATTTGCTTGCTTTAACAAAACAACCAGACTCAACTCAACAAAGGGTAAGGGGTACTGTTCGATGGAGCAAAGCAAGCTTTACAAGATGGCACTCATGTTTTTGCGCCAGGCTCGATCCACGGAGAGTTCGAACTCAAAATCTAAAGATTTCCAAATGCCCAAAAAATCGAAAAAAATCAGATCTTCGTCCAAATAATTTCTACGGACCTCCCACTCTCTCACATCAATACTATCGATATCTGATATCCATATGTGCGATTCCGTATTTTTTCCTTGACTAGAAACTGAGAAAACGAAAATTTCCCTGATTTTCTCAAAGCAAAGCTGAGCCGTTTTTGCATATGTAATTCTATACCACAAGCCTAGATAAGCATAACTGTAGGTTTTCTGCCTATTTCGAGCGGTACTTTTCGAGAAATGTCGATTTTAGCACGAAACTGAAACGAAAAAATCCGAATTCGTTAGTTTTCGAAAACTACCGGTTGGAATGGGCTGAAAATCTACAGTTATACTTACCTAGGCTTGTAGTATAGAACTACATATGCAAAAACGGCTCAGCATTGCTTTGAGAAAATCAGGGAAATTTTCGTTTTCTCAGTTTCTAGTCAAGGAAAAAATACGGAATCGCACATATGGATATCAGATATCGATAGTATTGATGTGAGAGAGTGGGAGGTCCGTAGAAATTATTTGGACGAAGATCTGATTTTTTTCGATTTTTTGGGCATTTGGAAATCTTTAGATTTTGAGTTCGAACTCTCCGTGGATCGAGCATGGCGCAAAGTCATAAGTGCCATTTTGTAGAGCTTGCTTTGCTCTATCGAACGGTACCCTTTACCCTTTGTTGGGTTGAGTGTAGTTGCTTTGTTAAAGCAAGCAAATAAAAACGGACATTATTTTCTTGACAACCTAATATTATGCAGCCACAGAATCGCACCATCAAAAGCTTGCGTCCAAGTGACACTGCATTTCTGAAGCGAGAAAACCGCTTCAGAAGTGGCGACCGGAATTTACCTGGTGACCGGAACGAGATAGTTCGACAAGCCAGAGTACGCATACAGCACGCGCCATACTTGATCCATTTGATCCGCTTGATCCGCTTCGTCATCGGTCAATTCAGTGGACTGACCAATAGTGAAGTGGATGAAGTGGATCAAGCGGATCAAGTGAACAACCGCTTCGTTAATGGTCAGTTCACTGAATTGACCAATGACCAAGCGGATCAAGTGGATTGAGAGGATCAAGTGGCGCCTGCCTATCGCACATAGTCAAGACGTAGGTTCCCACAACGACTCCGCGTCTTAACCTTAGCGACAAACGTCCAATTTTGAAACCAAAGCTTCTGGAATAGCTCGTTTTCGACAATTTCAAGCTTTCCAAGCTGCATTTTCGGAATTGGGAGGTATAAACTCAGATAAGCAAAAAGCAAATTTTGCCCGGACGCTGCCTTTAAGGCCCATATGCACGTACCCTTTGATTCAACTGCCTTGGCGCAGGGAAGGCAGGGCTTCGTCAGCTAGATAATGATCAGAGAGCATGCGCGCGGAAGGTACGACATACTGCATCTCTCCCGCGCGCTGCTCTCTTATCATTGCCTAGCTTACAAAGCCCCGCCTTCCCAGTGCCAAGCCAGTTGAATCAAAGGGCACATTTCCGCGGAAGAGGGAGGGGATCTGAGAAAGGACGCATTATATCCAGATATCTGCATTATTCTTTTCCTACAGTCGAATCATTCCATATTATCATGTGTGCATCCGCACACACTGCCCAACTTTGGCGTCCTCATCCTTTTGCAATCGCAAAACGCAGGAGAGTGACCGGTTGCTATCGCTTCATCATTTTGAGATAGCACCTAAAAAGGAAAGAAAACGTCTAAAAACACTTTGAAAAAATGCACGAAGGGTTTCCTCCATGAATCCAGAATGGGAACACCAAAGGTGGACGGTGTGTACAATGTCACACACGATCATACAAAATAATTCGACTATATCCATCGTGTTAAAGTTCTCATACCCTAGTGCTCAAGTACATATAATGGATGACAAAACACTGCTATACACTGAGTTTTTGAACTGAGTTTTCATTTCATGTGATCCCCTGGGAATCCTCGCAGCAGCAGAAGTTGATTGCACTGAATAAAAGATAACACCAACTCAACGCCGCCATTGTTTGTGTACGCTCTATCTTAAAGGCAGCGTCCAGGCAGATCTGGACCTATGAGGCTTTTACGTGGAAAGTACTTTTGGGGCCCTAACTAAGGCACTGCCCAAGCGGCAGTTCAGGTACTGCTCTAATGGCTGAAATATTCCCCTCGAAACTGGCCCCCGCGAACGTATTCGCATAGATTCATGGTAGTTTCGCGCCACGATCCACGCTTTGCGCCATGAATCCATGCGAAACACGGTCGCGGGTCCAGTTTCGAGGGGAATATCTCAGCCATTAGAGCAGTACCTGAGCTGCCGCTTGGGCAGTGCCTTAGTTAGGCCCCAAAAGTACTTTCCACGTAAAAGCCCCATAGGTCCAGATCTGCCTGGACGCTGCCTTTAAAGGCGCCGTCCGACCTCCATGTTTTGATCGTTCCGGGGCCTTCTCATGTCCCTGACTTCGAATATGAAGCCGAAAATCCCCGAAAACTCCAACAATTCCCGTTCCGGAGCACCCGCAGCCTGGCCTTCCGAAATGGTGATTGGCTAAGCGCGCACGAATGGGAGGGCATGGATGGGGAGGGCGGTGCCGTCTGGGGTCCTCGTCCATCTTCGATATTCCGGAGCGATTTTCTCGGTTCCGAAGCGACATTTTGCGCCGCAACTTGGGCTCTAGCTTGATAGACGGCCCTACTATCATATGCTGCCAAAAGCTCAAGACCCTCAATTTAGTGTGGACGACGCCTTTAAGCTTTCGCTTGAACCTGGTTTGCAAATCTGATATGAATGGAGTAGTGTCCGTCCCACATCACATAGAATGTAAGACTTGTGCAAGTCTCACCTGAACTTCCACTCGCGGATTGAGCTTCTAGCGATGACACTAAACCAGGCGGCACACCATAATGTCGCTTCGTTTCCATGTTCAGCTGAGCAAGTACGGGTTGCCGCGTATCCCTTACCGAACTAGCGATAGCTACAGGAAATAACGCTTGTTGTCTCGCTGTTGTTGTGACATTCGCATTCGGAACACTTTGTCGTAGTTGAGTGTTTGACAAGTGAGCTGCCGCGCTCTGCACATATTGTCGCAACGTCGTCGTAGGGGTTGGAACTGGCGGTGGCACTGTTTGTCGTGCAGAAGATAATGCCGCAGCCAAAGTGGTTGGCGCCACCATCGGCTGTCTGGAGACCAGGGTTGTCTGTACCGGCGGTGGTGGGATTGCAGCTGGCTGTGGTGGAGTGGAGATCGGTGGAGGAACTATGATGGGAGTCTCTAAACACGTCGTCATGGGATAAGGTTCATTCGTCGGTGGAACAGGTGGCGGCATTGTTCCAAGGGAAACATCGAGGGGTAGCTGCGGTTGTGGCGGGAGCGGAGCTGGCGTAGATACCACAGCGGAAACCATGCCGGTTGGAGCAGCAGTCTCTCCACCATCATTAGGCTCATTTCCTTCATTGTTGGTAGCGGACGCGTTCTTCTCTTTCTTTTTAGCTTCCTGAGACAAACAAAGGTGTATTAGTTAGCACAGGCATTACAGCGCTTATCTTACCTTCATCCCATTCATGATCAAATGAGTGCTGCAGTAATTCTCCTCTTTGTCTTTACGAATAGCGTTGGTGCAGCGTGTTGCAATATCTTTTTTGCCTAGAAAAGTTCTCGGTTAAAGCATGATCAAAGTTACCGCAACGATGTGTGCGAAAGACAATCTGTCTCAACAACACTGTCGCCGGCTCATGCGGCTCCGGTCGCGCAGCCGTCTGGCTTGAATTCTATCTGCTTCTATGACTTGCCTGAGAGACGTTTTCTCATGCCCCCAGCCTTGAAGAACTGGGGGCATGAGAAAACGCAAGGGCTTGGGAAAATTCCTTTGAGATACGAAACAGACGCGGCACAACGTCTAAGCGAGGCGAGCGAGCGGAACCAGAACCGCACGAGTCGGCAACACTGCCTTTGATACAGACAATAGGGCCTTTCGCAGCACCGTAGCCTCATTCAGACTATTAGAACAATTCCCAGAACCAGAGCGCGTCTTTCTGCGCGCAACACCCGATGTACTCTGAGAAAAAGCGAATCCCTACATGTAGACGCATAGCAGCCGATAAAAAAGGTACATATCGAAGACTATACCCCCCCCCCCCCGCGGATGAAAAGGAAATTTTCACAATAATCTCCAAATAAGTGAATAAACCAACTTTTCGGCTTCCGATGGTGTTCGCACTGTTTATACGGCGCTGATGGATCCAACAGTATGTGTCGTATGCAAAACTTGTAGCCGAGTATAGCTCGCTGCTTGCACTAAAAAATTAGCGTCAATGAAAATCCAAGATATTCCAAAAAAAAAACAGTGCGGAAAAACAGAAAAAAAAACAGTACAATAAAAGATCCTTACCACGATACCCCTCCCCGATGTGTCGACAAATTGACAGATAACCGAGGCGATGTGACCACTTGCTCTTTTCCGCCGAGAATAAGAGCTTTTGCCGTCTTTGCCTCCACTGTCATTTTGATTAGACATGGCGTGAGGTGATGATGCTAAAAAATGAGACAAGAAATCAAACGTCGAACCGTGAGACCAACCAGCTAGCCCACCTCGACTACTGTGAACGGATCCGGTCGGTGTGTCATGGTCTTGCTCATCACCATCATGTTCATTTGCGACCTCAACTGATGGAGGCATCGAAGGCGATGCCGTTTTACTTCCATTAGCCTGAAAAAATGAATTTTCTCAAATTTCAATAATCATGTAAACCTACCTCTTCATCTTTGACTTGTTTATTGTCTTCGGACTTTTCCGACGCTCTGCAATTAAAGACTTATCTCCAGCAAATATTGAGAAACTATAAACGTACCCTGAGCTTCTCCTCCTACCGGAATTTCCATTTTCACCAGCTTTTACCATAGCATCGGTAGGATCCGAAGTTTTGAGATTTCAGGAGCTCTAACCTCTTTCGTTCTCGAGATGATGTTGAGCTGGTAATGGTGAATGTAAGGCCTTTTAAGGATTTTCAGCTCTATCTAAATCAGAACAATTGCAGGTAAAGATCGATATCGTTACGAAAGCATAAATATTACATGAATTTCAACAAGATGCTTATGATACCAAAATGGCTGTACAATCTTTATAGATATTTGCAATTCAACAAATAACAATGATTTAACAACGAAATAACAAAATCACTGAAAGTAAAGAATAATGAGGTGAGATCGTAAAGCACAGGGTCCCAAGTGCAAAAAAATCAGTAAAATCGGGTCGGTCATTCTTCTGGATCTTGCTCTTCCGGATATCTGTCCCTTACTTCGAGATCCTCACCATATTGGATAGTAGTGTCAATAACGAGTAGTAATTGTTCAACGCTTTCTTCTTCATCGCAGTTGAGCGGAACAAACTTTACCATGGAATAGTCTTCGAGCACCTAGATATTATGCTAATCAACGATCAAGAAAAAAATGACCATTATTCATAGCAAAGGCTTGAAAAATTTACACACGTTTTTAATTCGCTCAATTCAAGTAAAACATAGTTATAGAGCCATAATGAAGGAGAAAATGACAAACTAGAAAAAATTTCCCACAACGGAAGCTATTTATGCTTCTATTCTACTGCCATAAAGGAATGGTGAATGCTAATTATTGAATTGAATACAGTAATTTATGTGTAGGTAACGATGACAAAATGACATAACGAAATGTGTAAACAAAGTCATAAAGAGAGATAAAAGGGAAAAAACCGAAGACGAAAAAGTTACCTGCGCAATAGTTTTCGTTAACTGACGATGTCGCTCATTCCACACATGTGTTGCATCCTGTTCCACAATACTTCTCGTATCCATTTCAAGGAAATCTTCTACCTGAACCAGCAAAGTTATTTAAATGTCAAGAAATCGAATCCACAGATGATTGACAGATGGCAGAGGAGTTTGAGGAAGTAGAAGGACGTAATTCATAATATCTCGTGCATTTGCGGCATCAAAGCTTATCAACTACCAGGATATTTTTTCAGGAAAAAAGGTAAAAGTGCAACCCTCATCTTTCATTTACTTTACAATTACTGCAGTCCCAAAGGCGAAAAGCAGAAAGAAAAGGAAATGGAAGACAAAAAATGGAAAAAGCATTTCCGTCCAACAATGCTAACAAAAATAAAAAATTTGTATGACACTCACCAAAGCTTTATTTCTTTCCGATAATAGATCCATTTTTGTGAGCACATTCACACATGGAGTTTCAATAGCTATCATTGCTGACAGAGCCGTTAACGCACCAGCAATAAACCTTAAGTGAGTGCATGTGAGTGTGTCACATAATAGCTTTCACTTGCAAAACGAACGCTGGGAAAGACTCACTTTTCAGCCTCCAGCACAAAATGTGTGTCAATAAGAAATACAGAGCAAACATTGAAGTCCCATGCCCTGAAGGGATATTTTATCCTCGTAAGCCTCTAACAAAAACAACTAATACCTGAATGCATCTACTAATTGCCGCATAATCGGAAGATGACTATAAAGCTCTATTTGGCCAGGGCAATCAAATACAAAATAATCATCTTCGCCTTCACAAAGTTCATCGTGAAGCCATTCCATATTTTGCACAAGATACCTATAATATCACATAATCCCACAAAGAACGCAAACGTGAGAAAACGCACGAACTCCATGCAAAACACGAGTGCTCCATTTGGCCCAAGGGCAAGTTCCTCATCTTCCATAACATCATCAACGCTAATGAGTGCTCGAACGTCTGGAAACATAACTTACAAGCGCTCATAGTCATAAGTACAAATTGAAACAAGTGTTTTAGCATCCAAAATTTTTCTATATGATACTTTATGTGCGCAAAAGATCATTACTTTCTTCAAAAAATTTTCTGGACGTTTTTTCTAAAAAGTTTCTGCCACTTTATCTAAGAGAATGGAAAGGGCAAAAAAAGTCTACATGACCAAATCATGTTTTCAAAAATTAATACAAAGTTAGCTACGACGTAGCCCTTTGAACAAAACCCAAACGTAGAAAGTCCCAAGAACTTCATACTGGTTAAAAACCAACTAAGCACTTGCACACTATTTCGTTTACTACTCAATTAAAGGACACTAAACATTATATTAGGTTGGCACGAAACTTCTTGCGTAATTCAAACAAAATTCAATGACTTTTCAAAGACTAAACCTAAATTCACAATCTTGTATGCTAAAAATATTAGAAGTCTTACGCTTCATGATGGATGTTCAAGCGTAAGATTCCGTGAGCTGGACATCAAGAACGAAGCTCTCGAATATGGCGCTTCAAATTTTGCGATTTTGAGTTTGGTGCCAGAAAATCGCAGAGTGCCGCTAGCTAGCCGAAAAAAATCTGTAGAATTTACTTACACAGCTAAAGTCCATACGTTGTTTTAGCAGGCTTTGATCTCGCATGGAAACGCGAAAATAAAAAATTTGTGAAAATTCTCATTTCACAGGACAAATCCCCTTATCGCTCTAACTTTTCCACAGAAACACAGCTTGCAACCAGAAATTAGACATAGTGCCTATTTAGAGCCTTGTGACGTTTTCTCAATTGTAAAAAAGTGTTTTCGCCGGAAAACTGCGGACATGAGGGGATTTTTTCCGCAACATGACTTATTTCACGAATTTTTTGTTTTTGCTTCACCGTGCAAGATCAAAGCCTTCCAAAGTAACATATGGACTTTTGTTGTGTAAGTAAATTCTACAGATTTTTTCGGCTAACTAGCGGCACTCTGCGATTTTCTGGCACCAAACTCAAAATCGCAAAATTTGAAGCCCCATATTTGAGAGCTTTGTTCTTGATGTCCAGCTCACGGAATCTTATGCTTAAACATCCATCAGAAGCGTAAGACTTCTAATATTTTTAGCATACAAGATTGTGAATTTAGGTTCAGTCTTTGAAAAGTTATTGAATTTTGTTTAAATTACGCAAGAACTTTCGTGCCAACCTAATATTATCCCTACGCTTTTTCCACCTAACACAAAGGAACGTTTGTTTGAAAAGATTCACCATTCATCGTTGCATTTTCTATACTGCTATAGGAATACAGAAAGAGGCAAAGCTATACAAAAGTTTGCAAACAAAAGACGAGTTCAAAGAGCGAAGACTAGAGAAGGGAAATGGGCAACAACGAGCGGAGAGGGCAGACGCAATCTTCTCCACTCATTTTGTTCTTGTAGATTTGAGTAAGTGAAGAAATTTCTCCGATGAATTCAAGCACAGTGGCCTACAACAATAAGACTTAATTAAATTTTCGAGGTTAGAACTTCCTTTCCTTGAAAGAACTATCTCCGGTGAATATCCATATGCACAACTAGGTACAGCAGGTCATGCTCACCGATCACCCCCACTTTGAAAAGGATTACATGAATCGAATTCATTGCTGTCATGAGTCAGTTCAAAGCACAAAATGATAAACTGGAGCAAAAATTCCTCAAAGTAGATCATATAGCTCATGCAAGACTTCGAAAGGACAGTTTCGAACTTCAATCACTGCTCAGTGTCATGAAAAAACAGAAACAAGAAATATGAATATATTGACTCAAAAAAGATTCAATTGTCTTGACAACGTAGGCAACACAAAAATCACCTGCAGTGGCTGGATAATTGAATGACTCGGCGGCTGGATCTAGATTAACCACATGTACCTGCCGTCCAATGCTCAAACAATGATTATAGATGACGGAGCAGTATGTCGACTGAAAATGGCACATTACTCACAACAAAAAGCGAAAAGAAAAAGTGATAAAAATTTAGGAAAATTTACCTTTCCACTTCCAGCTGGTCCCATAACCAATTGCGCATACTTCATCTTTAAACTGCAATTTTTGCAGAATACGCAGCCTTCAAAAGCTCATACAATGTTTTTTAAAGTGAAACATAGAATATGCTAGGAAGTTGTCAAGGATACAGCCTGACTATTACAACAATTATAATGAGATGCAACATTTCATTCGGGAAGAGCAAAGACCAAATGACGAACTAACAGTAACTAACATTAACAATCCATGACTAGGCAAGAGGTAAGTACAGCAAGACTAATTGTGATGGAAAAGGGCACAAGAAAGGAACAAAAATAACACGCTTGAGGAAACCACGATTATCGCAGCATGTACGCGTAATAAAAGTAAATTCAACTAGACGAATAATCACAATGCTAGTGTAAATGTTAAAAAGATGATCTACCGCATACGCTACTCATTACTAACTATGGCGACTTAATCACGAGGCAGAAGTACAAGTAGTAAGCTAGCAAAAAATCTAAATCAATTCAACCTGAGCAAAATTAGGTAAAGATGTTGAAACTATTGTTTGAGGCATAGATGTATAGAAATCATAGAGTTTGTTGTCGATATTTCCACAATATTTTCGGAATTCTCGTAGCATGTAGTCTTGGAACGCTTCCGAACATTGACTAGAATCAAATAATACTCTTTACTTAGAGGTGTGACAGGTATTGAGCAGCGCTGAATTTGCAGATTGGATTTAGTTTTTACTGGAAGCACATGCTATACTTGTCCAGTTCATCCGCTTCAAGATACGGGACACCAGCAAACGACATGATTTGACACTTGGCATCGCGTAACAGAGATTTGACGAAACTTCGTCCCTATTCTAGGCCAAGTGACAGTCATGCTGTTCAATGACGCCGCATTCTTTCGAAGTGGATTATTGCGGCAAAGGCCATCAGCATGGCAATAATGCCGTTAGCATTTTGATTGAATAAAAAACTAACAATTTCCTAAGTGAAGTTAGAGTTAATCAAGACGTCGATACTAATAGAAAAGAGCTCTCTCAAAAATGACGCTTCAAAAAACACATAAATAAAGATACATGCGCAGATACAAATTGCAAAATGAAAACGCTGGCGCGTTGTCGTGTGTCCAACATAGTGCGTAAACCGTTGCTCACGAAAAGCAGAAATGCCAGTAAATTGCAAAAGACCCACCTATCCTGTCTATACTTCTTCGTAAGCATATGGTTCCATGCCCAGAAAAAGAATATGGGTTTATCCGTAGGTCTCTCAAGTGACACAAACATTCCACCCGTCTGATGCATATACAGAGACGATCCAGTTGCTGATTTTCTCACTAAAAAGAAAAACGTGTTACACTTATATAGAAAAGGAGAAGTTTATTGCCAGCGCTCAACAAATCAACAGCCTCCGCTTTGCGGCCTCTCCCGGGTCTTTACATGACGCAGAACCCAGGTATGGGCGTCGGAATGCATAAAAGGGCCGATAACATGGCGAAGTTTGAAGACAGGACACAGACAAAGTTTATGGGTTTTAGCGTCATGCAACATGTCATGTCCACCCCCCCCCCCTTTCTTCTCTAAATCACTGTCCGGCAAATCAATCTCCAATTTGCCCATACTGAACTTGAATATTTTTTGCTATTCAGAGTGCAAATTAGAGCAATGCTCAAAAAAAACGATTTGCGAGAAGAAGCTGCAGCAAAAAAATGTTTATTGAGCAGTTCTCAAACTTACTGATGGACTCTTTGTCTTTACTTGTAAAGGATGAGCCTCTTACTGTCGCATGCTCTACTGGACATTCCATAGCACAAAAACCGAAACAGAACAGCAAATGCTGCAAGGTTTGCTCCAGCTGAAATTGGGCACAGTAAAATTACGGAAGAATTGACGCAATCTTCAATTCTATCCAGGGAAAGAAGAGAGAAAGAAAAGAGAAGAAAAACCACAAACCATATGCTCGGGAACGATGTTCTGCTGCACTTGAACACGTATGGGACAACGAAGAGGATTAGAATTAACATCTTTCGGTAAAGCGATCGGATCCTCTGGTACGGGGAATAGATAGAACTTCTCTTTGGAAATCTACAACAAAACAATTTCCATTGTAAAAGAATAAACTTGGCAAACCAACGTACAATCCACACCTTTGACTGCCAGGTGTAAATGGTGTCGGCAACCGTTTGGCCAGTTGCCATAAACCATTTTACGCTCAGCTCAAACGCTTTTGATTCACAGTATGATCTATCGTAAACTATCTAAAAAGAAAAAAAAAACAGTACTGGGGCTGCAGATAGTAGATGATGTGCTCACTCTTCCCCACTCTCCAAGAGGAAAGGGATCACGTGGTGTAAAATCGAGATCAATTGCAGCTTGCTTAAAGCGGCAATCTCCAAGTGGACCTAGTGGAGAGCAGTTTGGGACAAACTCGACCCGCATGAACCTGAAAATGACCGGTACAGGGAAAAAGCGTGACATCATGATGAAGTTTTCAGATGTTGCGCAGTTTTTTATGTGCACTAATGCAAAAAAACTAGTTTGCGAAAAAAGTCACCATGCGGACGTAATCGCTTTTGTGCTCTTATTCAATTGTAGTGTCACGAATAACAGCGGAAAACGGCGACTAACGGCATGCAGCCAACCATTATAGATGCTTTCCTTGCATTATAATCTCTGCCAAATCAACATGCACATTTTAGAATCACAAGAGCATATTCAGCTATAAGATTGTCATCGCAGCGACTTATACTATGTCTCAAGCAAGAAATTCATGATCTCGAGAAATACACAGTGTTCTTGATAGTTCTGATGAGAAAAATTATAAACCTTGATTTGATTTTTTTTTGGAGCTAGCAACCGACAAAATGCCAGAAATCTTACCAACGTGCATTTTTTTAATATAAAAATGAAATCTACACGAAATTATTAAGTTGATTGCAACATCGACATTTTCTCAAGTATACCTTTGGAGAGATTAAATTACTTTCAAAACAAGCAAGGAAAACGGAACTGTTTGCCAGATGGCACTTTTATGGTCCGCGATGTTTAAGGATGACGTTGATCAGGAATGAAAAAGGCAGAGGTCACACTTTGACACCACCAAATAGAACAGATAAACAGAAAACAAGAAAAACAAATGGAACAATAACAAAACAAACAATGAAATTTTATAAGAACGCTCACCGACTGTACGACTGATGGGGAGACTCCTTATCGCGATCTGGATCTACTAATGCACATAACTGAAAACCATAGCGGAACAATCGTGCTTCCGATTCGGACGAAACGCAAGACTCGAGTTCATCGTACTCGGTGTCTGCTGCAAGACAAAAGACTATCAACACTGAAGTACAGATAAACACGTGAATTGGATTCTAAACAAACACTCACTGGCTCGTACAATTTGAATCGTCTCAAGGTCGACCATGTCATTAGCGAACTTAATTGCACTTTCACGCGTCACCAATTCTTTCACATTTCCAGCTGAAAGATTGCACGCAGCGATTGAGAAGAAATGGAGAAATCAAAGCGTGGAAAGACAACAAGCAGAGAGTTCTTACCAGTAAGCCAATTCACAAAATCATAAGAAAGGAACATATTTGGTGGATGGACAGCGGCTGGGTTTTGACTGGTTATTCCCACAAAACCACTCTGCTTGAATCGTGCAAGGATCTAAACTGCCAACATTATACTCATACAATCCTTAAATTACAAATACTAGCACCTGTTCGTAGTTTGCCACAGTGAGCTCAGTTCGAGGCGGCAGGTCGCGCTGGGAGTGAACTGCAGGCGACGTCGAAGGTGGTCGGACTAGCCGATTGATTTGCAAAAGCACTCTTATCATGCTGTCATAGAGCAGAGGAGATCTCGGAGTCCCTTCGATAGATCGGAAGGAGGCTCCACATAATTGCTCGGTGAGCATTCGTTGCACAATGTTGGGGGTCTCCGGCTGTGGGACCATCATAAATCTGAATGAGGATAAATTGATACCAGCTTACTCAATAAACAGATGTAAGTTGGAGATGCACAAACCAACTGAGATAAATTCAATATATGCTCATACATAAAGAGAGTTCACTTATGAAGACGTGATATATTATACAAATGTCCAAAGGCCGGATATGCGCATCAACAGGCTGAGTGACGGCAAAATTAGTCTACACAAAAAATCTTTCGAGGAGAATACGAAAAACAGCAGCCAAAAAAGAAAAAGGAATTTAGTCATGACAATGGAAATCACCAAAAAGAGCTTTTCTTTGGAAGGTAAATCTTAGAGCAAATGTACGTGCGAATATAGCAGAATTATGATACAGACTGATATGAAGAAAATCGAGTCAATAAAGTGAATGAAGAAAGGAAAGAGAAAAAGTTGGAAAATCAACTTAAAGCAAAACAGAAAGAACTTTTATAGAAACTATCTAACCTCGATGAGTAGCTTTTCATTTCTTCCTTGAACATTTGTGAATTGTTTCTATATTTGATGTTGCAATCCAACAAGCTCCAATTCAGTTTATCAAGATTATGTGGCTTGAAACTGAAATAAGCAAAGATACAACTGCAAAAGCTGTTTCACAAAACAATTTGATTGAAGTAGCGAAACTAGTAATACTCCTACCTTGTTGTACTCCTTTCATATGATTGCTCATCGGGCACCTAGAAAACGCATTTATCGAATTCATTCATATTTCGAACACATAATTTAACAGTGCAGAGCGAAATATAACCTACGCAGTAACGCACAGAACAACTCATTTCACCCAATCTTCACGATACTGTAATGTTCGGAATAATTGGGCATAAAAGTTCGAAGCCACAAAGACCTAAGCAAATTTGATTCCGATCATCCGGTACCAAACTCGAATTTTCGACAAATAGACAGCACTACGAAAGAATATAGTGATATAAGCGTAAAATAGATCAAAGCATCATGCAGAGAAACATGCAAAGCCCCAAAACCCAAAATTCATGCAAGGTAAGAGCCGCCAACTAAGGTCCGCCTCTTACAGAAAAGGCTAATCTACGCTTATAGATCTACTTATTCCTAGCGCCTTCCTAGGCCAGAAATGAACTAAACATAATTTAGATGAAAGACTGGGTGGAACGATGAACTGTACCTGGCCAGGCACGAGCTGACTGTTCGGGTAGACGGGTACCTGGAAGAAGTAGGAATACGGCTGCATGCACGGTGGAGGGCTTGATTCCGCTTCGCGATTTCGTTTCGGATAGAAGACCGTCACCGTGATATCAGAACCAACTAGAACCAGTCGGTGAACAATCTGAAAACACATCCCACATGTAAATCAAAGGAAAAGTTAGCAAAATTTGCTTTTTGAGAAAACAAAGACCACATTGATCCCTCACCTTGTTGAAAGACATGCTGCATTCCGTTTGTTCGGTGTTTATAGGAGTGAACAAGCTCTGCTTGATAGCGACCTATACAGTGCTAATCAGTGACAATGATGAGGCAAAAAAATTAATGGTACTAACTAAAACGGTGCTGAACAATTATTAAAACGATTGAACAAAAAAACTTTCATAGATGAAAGAACGTCAGAACGAAATGAAATGGATTTAAACTGAAGTGTTTTCGAAAATAAAAAACTATTTCTCAAAAGAAATGCCGATATTCAAGTGTAGCTAAGCTCACATGGATCAAAGGCTTTGACATAAGGATGATTTGGAAACCACGTTGCAACCGTTGACAAATCAGCTGATCAAAAACCAGCCGCGATAGTTGATTTATGTCCATTTTCGCTCGTGTACCCTGCAAAAAAAAACTTCTGATTTGATAGAGATAGGATTCCATATGCACGGAATAAGTACACTCTAGATGAAACAACTTACATGGTCGTTAACAACAGAAATCTGATGTTCAGTGTAAAGATAATCCTTGAGAAGAGTCAATCCGTCAGGGAAATAGTCTGTGGTGATTGGAAGCAGCGCAGATCTAGACAGTCGAAAAATAGTATCAAAAATTAAGCTCACGACTCTTCGTTAAAACTGTGAGATTCTTCCGCGGAAGAAATCAAAAAATACGGTTTTGAGTTTTTGATATATCAGACTGAAACAGGATATTACCCCTGGGGAATGTCTTGAAGCTGGAATCTACACTTTCCGATTATTGCTCTTCACTGTAATAAAAGCAGCTGATTTCGAAACAGGACTTGCTCGTAGATGCGTTGGGAAATTTATCAAGAAAAGTTTTTGCAGACACATTTTTGTGACTCACTGACAAAGAAAGGATGCAGTCATACAGTTGTTTCAAAACTGACAAAACCACGCAAAAGACCCTAGCACTGAGTGATGAGACGCCAACTATACAAGAAAAACAAAGATAAATGCATGCTGACCTAACCAAAGATTTCCAATCCATGCCGATCTCCATATCAGGATTCCACTTTTCCTCTCCTGTTGAACCCCATGCCCATACACGAGTCTGTTCTTTCTTCGCTTCACCAGCGCGTCTTACGGGAGTAAAATCGTCATTCTGCACAGAACAAAATTAGTTTACGCATATAGAAAGTGGCTGCTCACTTTCATGTTTACTGTAGCCGTGCTGGTAGTGCTCTCGGTTGGTGGACCATTAGCAACTAGAGGAGATTCGGGACGTTCACTTCTACGAGATGGGGAACCCGATACGCCTAAAAAGATGGGAATAAAACAACGTGATTCACTATAGATAACAAAGAGGAAATTTGAAAGTGTGTAAGACGATTGAGAACAACTCACACCAAAGAATTCTCGCAAGGAAAAAGATAGCGTTGGCAATTATTGAAGTATTTTTTATTATGAAAGCGAGAACGTTGTTCATAGATTAAAGTACCAGGTAATAGTGTTTGCAGATAGAAAAAGAACGAAAGAGAATGAAAAATGAAGAACCGGAAATAACTGACAGACCATCAAACAAAATCTTTCGAAAGATAAGAAATGAAAAAGCAGGAAAAAAAGCGCCACATTTTGCAAAAAACCAACCATTCTCTCTTGTGCTCATATCGATGTTGTTCTCAACTGGTGGTGCCTCATCAATCATATTCATGCGTACAGCACAGGTCCCATCAACGTAATGATGAGCGAGTTTTGAGCGTCCCTAGAAGCGTACGTTAATGCTTTATTTACGTCAGTGAACGAAATTCAACTAACCATCTCGTCAACAGGAAAGACATGAATCCATCGTCGTCGGTTTGCTGTGATTCGCACATAAAACTGATCCGGACGAAAAGGATTTATGAGCGAACGGTGTGGAATGGCATCCACATGTGCAGCTGTACTGCGACGGCTAAGAGTAGGTGCTCCGCGTCTGCTATTAGTTGCATGCAGAGAGTGAGCTCCTTAATAGAATAAGATAAATCGTACTTTCTAACTTCTACTTATAGAGGGAAAATGAACTAGCCAGCCTTATTTGGCGCCCAGTGACTAAACCATGAGAACAAAATTAGAACCTAGACGCAACGTCACAAACACATTGCATTCCACTTTTTTATGTGACGCACACAATGGAATGCGGCAAAAGGAATGTCGTAAATTTCCCTGTCTTTTAGGAGATAAAAAGCGTGAACAATAGATTAGTACGACTACGATCAAAATTGCAGAACATTTTGAAAACCTAGCAATCCTTGCTGTAAATCAGAAGTCTTATGACAACTTTTTTCCTTGTCCACTTCAAGAGCGCCAACAAATACTAAGTTATCGGTCAGAGTGACGTCAAAAATCCCATTTTGAATAAAGCCGTGGCAGCAATACACCACAAATCAGAGGGATGTTGACGCAATTTTACGTACACTTCAAAACAAGATCCAATCACGTATTTTTAGCACCGTAAAAACCTATTTTCGTAGCAATGAAAAATCACTCTGACAGAGATAAGAATGACCATCATTTTGCCAGATATTGCGATGTAGTTTTTCACGTCTCAATTCTGCAAGTACTGTGGAAAATTATGAAAAGGAACTTAACATTTTCTTGTCAAGTATGGTTTCAAGATACTTTGGATCGAGGAAGAAACACCACTTCACAAGGTAACAAAGGCAAAAACCTGCAGTTCTGAAGAGAACAAGAAAGAATATTAGCATTGCCATTTTACAACCATTACTTATGTGACATTAGTCACTAAGTGATAAAAAGGGGTCATGCGCTATACGGAAGGGACAAAAAATTCGAAAATGGGAGAGCAGTCGATGGGAACCGAAAAAAAGTAGAAAGATACGTCGATAGAGGAAGACATATTGTACTGAAAGCAACTCATGTAACACACTGGAAAAAAGTTCAAACTCTTCAAAACCTGAACTTACCTCCAACAAAACGCTTCTGCTCCAACGATCCACTTTCAATGCCGTTGCGTATTCCAAAGGCGCTCCCCGCATTATCTAGCGAACTCGGTCCTACACGAGCTGAGAGCGACTATAAAAAAAAGAACATTTCGATGAACATCAAGAGTAAATGCAAACTCACTCTCTCGTAAGGCTGCAAAGGGACTGGTTCAGTTTGTTCGGGTGGTAAGCCTAACTCTCTGTTCAACTCGTCCAGCAAGTTCTGAGACTTACCCTTTTCACCAAATCTAGAAAATAATCTTTGGTCTGGGAAGACAATATAAAGCATAGTTCACTGACTTAGTAGGAGTCAATAGCTTCGAGAATGCCTCTACGTCATATGCTTGCATATCACAATGCTGTATTGTCTCACCATCCATAACCAAAGTACGCGGGGCAGACTAAAAAAACATAATCGAGCTTTCGACGGAAAAATTCAAGCAGTGAACATACCAAGATAGCATTTGGTAGGTTAATTCGAGGCCGGAAGTTGATCGATATCGCGCTACGCTTACTCATTCGATAATACGAGTAGTTCATCCAGTGAGGTATGAAGTAGTCTTCAAAAGGTTGCGAAGAATTCCAGCGATTGTGAAACACGAACAAAGGAACCGCATGCAGAGGTTGCTCTCCCAGACAAACCTGTATGTGGCAATAAATAATTCAATGTTTCTATGAAAAAGCGCGCTTGTACAAACCATGTCAAGTGATATTCCCATGTCAATGATTCTTTGTTTGGTCATGTTTACCATCTCTCGATCCACATTCAGCACACCACCTCCAGGAGTCACAAAAATTATCTGAAAACAATTGCGTGGTGGAGTTCAATGGTATCAAGCATTGCCATAGGTCTTTTTCAACCAGTGCATTTTTTGCTCAGATTGCTAGCCGCAAACAAGATACCCACAAAACGTATGAAGCTAAATCGCTCTTGGATTTTATCAGATCTGAGCATACCCTTAATCTATATAACGACGTTCAAAAATAAAAAATCATGCCGAGCAGTATGTAACGAAATTCATTGACATAATTTTCAAATGATTGTCTCAATGAGCTTGATTTACCTGTTGTCCAGTTGTTTCAAACCTCCTATCGGTATGGTAGACACTGAACGAGTTCATACTCATGTTCAACACTTGCAGGAAGTTACCATCCGCAGCCGTAGAAATCTCCCATCGACCCCTGGACAATTCTTGGTGATGACGCTGCAACTCTAACACATTATCTATGCAGACTTACTTCAAGTTCGGATAGTTTGCTGCTAGTACATCTTGTATGGTCTCCTGGTAGTTGTTGAATGAAAGTTTTATCTAAAAACGAGAAACAAACTAATCCCTCAAGAATCCCGATATTTGAAGCAACTCACCGTGGACAGAACGTGACTCCAATCTTCGTAATGTTCATTCTGCACCAGTAATCGGTAGAAATCCTACAATAAATCGATGGGACAGGATAGTCACATAGTACCGCTCAGATACCTGGAAATATCGTCCACGGTGGTCGCGTGCGCTAGGGCCCAACTGCTCTGCGACGTCTTTATCAACATCACCCAACAGATAAAAGCGTGAGCAAAGAATAATCGACACGTAGTGCGCACTGGAGTTCATATGCCATTTGGTAAACAGCTCTGCCATGAAACCTGCAAAAAATCATATGAAAAAATAAGTAACACAGTACGTCAGATATGTGATAAATGCACATTGAGAGTATAAACGAGTTAACACGAGCAAAACTCAAAATATCCATTGGTATTATATCAGACTTGTTCTAAACAATCTGAAATTATGCACGAAGTACTGTTTGAGTAGTAAGCAGGACTTACCTTTCACACATTTCTCAAAGTAGAGGTCACCTTGCGGATCCAACTGCCACATCTCAGAACTCATTTGGATGTATATGAGAATCTGAAAATTTATATGATATGATATGCGCGGTTCGAGATAAGAGACAAATGCTGGATCGAGCCCCTACTGACTCACCTAGAAGTATTCAAAAGCATAACTCACCGAGCTGCTACTCGAACGGAACACAACACGGGTGTCGGATGAGACGAAGCCGCTCCGCACAATCATACCTTTTTGCCACAAATCCGACACTTTCGTAGTGATGTTGAAATGTCGCAGCTGAAAAAAAAAATGGATGGAGAGCAGAAAAACAGACTGAAAGTTAAAGTTAGGAGAAGTTGAAGAAAGTAATAAGACTTCAAGCAAGAATAGATGCTGATTTGCTACTTGTTAGCATGCATTAAAGTTCAAATGTATAAGATCCAAATAAAACAGTCACAGATGTGACTCCCACCTGTTTGTCTAAATAAGCACACGTGTTTATCAACCTCGAGCGATATCGCCACATGTCAGCACGGCTCATATAGAGTTCCTTGAACGTAAGCTGTATGTTATCCAACGTGACCTGTAACAGACAACCTTTTTTATTAAACTTCTGGTTGCAAAAAGCCGCATTTAGTGCATTTCATCTGTATTAATCATTATGCACTCCAACACATGTACTAAGGAAACTAGTAAAAGAGTACTGCATATTGTTTTGCAAGGTTCAAAACATATATTATAGCTGCGTACCCAGATCATAAGGTACACTTACTTCTTCGACTTTCTTCTTCTCAGCTGTTACATATACACCACCAGTCGACGTGAATGTTTTTGATACAGCCTCTCCAAGCGAAGAACGATCCAAAGAGATGACAACTTCCTAAACAAGCAGAGGGTATCATGAGGCCGCAACGATATTCAGATGGTAACTCACTCCTTTCTCCTTTTCAATGAACTCATCCACTTTGATGACAATCTGGGTTCGATGTTTGTCATTGGCTTCAATGCTGAAGAAGGTGCCAGGCGAGAATAGTTTTCCCATTTCACTGTTACCAACCTAGAAATAGGAAGGTTGATATAGTTAGAAACATTCAGTCTCCAAAACTATATCAATGAAAAGAGCCAATAAGCTAAAGCACAGAAACGTGAATGCTCAAAACGAGTTTAAGCATCGGACTATCTAAGCAGGCCTTGAGAATGGCGAAGATATATGGCAAAAGAGAAACAACTTACCACTATAACATTGTGGCTTTTTTGACATAGTTGGCCTTTCGTTTTTTGTGATGTCTGAACTGATGAAATGTAAACAAAAAAGAACACAATGGAACAAAATCATGTATTTAGCTGCTGTGCTGCAAACTGAACAGGCATAATAGAATAACCACCAACCGTGGCCTCCCGCATACAACGACATTGGTCGGTAGTGTGCAAATCCACCCGAGCACGTACTGACGTTCTTGTTTCTGCTCCATTTTCCGCCACCACTTCTGCCGGGCACATCACATCGTCTCTAATGTGTGAGCGATGATAAAAGCAAGGTATTCCTTTTTTGAAAATAATGCAATAAGCTCAATGTGTTGCGTGTGTAATTTATTCTAGTGGTAGCAATCCGAAAAGTTGCTCCATATGTGAAACACCGAGGCTCCAATGTGAGGTGCAATTTGGCTTCTACCAACTAGACTGATTGAAGGTACGGGAGAGAGGCAGTGGATCGGCAGAATGGATCTCTGTCAGATGATGGTACTGTTAAGTAGTAGGCCTCCCAAGTACACCGCGGCCCTAACTCCACCCTCCAAATCATGCGCTAAGTTCTGTAAAGAAGCTTCAAAACTCCACCAGCCCCGCCCAATTTCACTGAGTGGGCGTTAATGGTGGAGTTTGAAGCTTCTTTTCGGGACTTAGCGCATGGTTTGGATGAGGTTAGGGCCGGCGTACTTGGGAGGCTTACTACCTAACAGTACCAAAATGTGACAGAGGTCCATTCTGCCGATCCATTGCCTTTAAACCACAGATACCGTGAAGGCTCGCAAACAGAAGCAGAATACCGCCGACATGGACATGCTAATGCTTTTGAATCCCATTATGACAGGACGTCAAGAGCCCAATTTCGCATACAGACCTATCTTTCATTTCTACATTCAAATGCTGTTCCTCATCTGTAACGAACACTTGGTGTAAGCCTGAGGACTGCAAGTTCTAACGTTATTCTTCGTGGCATACACCACGTCCGCAATAAAAAGTTTTCGATTTTGTGTACAGTCCATGTAAACCTTGTGCTCCCTTTTCCACCATCCAAATCGCAAAGGGAACCTCGCGCCCCGTTCGCGCGCGTATAGCTTGCGCATTCAAAACTCGCCTATCGACCGGGGTCGCCGCGCTAGACTCCTGCGGAGCGGTTGCGTGACTGCTGCGGTAGAGCGAGCACCTGGATGACATCAGTTGTATGAACTATGAGCACTACAATATAGTTCTTAGCTCCGAAACGGATACGTAAAGTAATAATAGTGTGGTAAGTAAAAAAAATAGTGAAAGGAACTTCTATTTTAATTATTGTTTTATTTGCGAAAAACCAAATTTGTCCTTACATTAAGATTAAATCGTTCGGTCGTTGATCGCACGGACTGGACATCACTTGGAGCACGCGCCGTGGAGTAAAACGCTTGCCCCATTACGAATTCGTCATTGTGTGTACATGTCGTGTACTCTGGCGACAATTCAGCCGCGTCGCGAGTGGTCCGTAGCATTTGAGCAGTCCGTGCAGTCAACGAATCGACGATGGAATTTAAGTTGCGTAATAAGAAATCAAACGCAATCAAGAATTAGGATTTCCAGTAAGGGGGTAAATGATAGACGCATGAAATTTCGAGCTCCTTGAGACAAAAAAGTGTAGTATACCAGAGAAGAGGAATGTATAGAAAAAAGGAGGACTTGCTCATCTCCAGTTGAATCGACACATTTCCTAAATCTATGTTTGAGACTAGAAGCAAAATGGTAAGCCCTCGTGAGATATAGATCCGCTCCGCTTCCCCAAGCAGATAATTTAAGGTGTGAAATCTAGACTAAAGATGAGATCAACTTGATCTCCATTTGGCGTGAAACTCAGTCCCTGCTCACAAATTCCTCAAGAAGCGCGAAGTTGAAGGCAAAATATATTCACCCGATCTCATGCTTAATTATTACAGCCCAGTCTAGCACATGCTAGAATTCAAGAGGAACATGGTCATGATCGCCTATACAGAAATGTCTATTAAAATTCAGTCCAACAATGCATCAAGTACTCTGCAGGGATGTCTTTTTACCGCTGACACCGAACACGTAAGAATATAGGAAAAACTTTATGACGCAATAGTGCGGATAAACATACACAACGAAAGGTCTTTTATCAAATATTAATTAGATTTCAACAAACAACAAAGCAACGAATGACATACAATGTTCCACTTGATTCTGCTAAATATTCGTTGGAACTTTGATAATTCAGCTAAAAAATATTTTGGATCAAGTCGGAAGCGGGAAGGAGATTAACAACAATTCGCACTACAAATACTGCGAACATACCGAAGACTCAACACATACACACACGATCGATGTTACGATCAAGAGATGCACAATTTGCACGTTCATAGAAATCCCGAAAACCAGATGATCTTGACATTGTATGGTCGTTCTAAGCCGTAAACGGACGGTAACTGCTCAGACATAATTTCAAGATCGTATATGGGAAACACATTATAACCTCGACAAGATAGACCTCTACCCAACTAAGTTTTCATGAATCTTACAGAGTTTTTACATTTTCAGAGCGTGTAATCCAGCTCATATCGGACAAACGTATGTTGATCGGTGTCCTCGATACGCGGATAGCCGGCTACAAGGGCATCCTGCGAGCCAAGGATGAGGTTATTGTAGACCTGAAGATCAATCATAGGATGAAAAGCTCCATATATACGCATAAAATAATGGCCTCCTAGTACTTCTCAAAAATCTGTCAGGCTTATTTTGCAAGTGGGACTTTCACGTGGAAATTGATTGTGGGGCTTTAAATACGGCATTCTTCAAGCGGCAACGTTGTTACAACCATGGCCAAAAACATCTCCGCATCTGTCCCCAGTATATGGCAGTTAACGGACGACTTGCCGGCATCGCATGCTTCTGCTGGGAACCAGTGTCAAGCGTGTGATGCGACTGTCGCAACGGGGGGTCGTAAAGTGGGCAACTAAGGTGGGAAGGGGTAGTAAGAGAAAGTAGTTTGGCTGAAAACCGTAAGCTTAAAAGGAAATCAAAAAGCACATAACCAGTACATGTTTTTTAGAATAAATTTAGAAAGAAATTAGAAAAAAGGATACTAAGGATAAAATTTTTTTACAAATTCTCAAAAAAAAAACATTCCCAAGAGCTCAAAACACTTTTGAAGAATGTAAGATTTAACAAAAAATCGAAATGTACTAACTGGCTTAGGAATATTGCTTCCGAAGCCCCACTGAAGTCTCACACACTCGACAAAAGCGCACATCTAGATCAACGATGACGATCAATAATTCGTAAACCTTTTTGTAATGCCATTTATACGGCCCTTACAATTTATATGTACTTTAGATAAGCCCTGCTATTACTGTGCGAAATCTGGTGTTATTTTGTTGACTGTGGATTTTCTTACGATGTTATGTTAGTAGCAAAAAATCAGGAAAGGGGGAGGGGGGGGGGTGTATCTGGGTCGCATCTAAATTTCTTCGGAGCTATCGAAGCTTGTTGGCTGCGATTTTGCTTTAATATGAGACCATCCTCCTACTTTCCCTCATAAAAATTGCAGGCTGTTTTATAACTTCTCTGGTAAGTTACAAAATTTCAAGCTCAAAAATCCAGTTTTTGCTTTTTAGATCGCATCTAAATTTGCGAGAGTCGCATCTAAATTTTTTCGAGCTTACTGCTCCTCAAGTTATGAAACTTTTTCTATGGATAATCTGGGCACTATACTACAAAGCCTGTTCATTGCAGCCTCTCAGTCTTTTCCTGCCTTTAGTTACGAATTTTCGAACTACCGTGCTCATGCACGTTTTTGACATCGTTCTGAACGGCACTAAAGCGATTCTTTTTTCGCGGGAAAAACTGTGGAAGAGGTAGGAAGTAAGCTTCTTAGTCGAAAACATCTTTTGTAGTTCAAGAATGTCATTTTTTTTCTCCATGCAAAAATTTGTGTCGCATACGGGAATCGAATTTGCTGGTCTGAAGTGTGCCTGAAAATTCAAAAAAAAAAACTTGCAGAATCTCAAATATTATTGAAGGTGTGTGTGTGTGCTACAGATGCTGGGCGCACCTTGGCCTAGAAATTCTGCTTCCAAAACCTCACTGTAGTTCTCACGCAGGTGTTTTTTGAGATTGACATTCGTTTATGCAGGTTTATGCAGGTTACCGCGAGGAATGTGGGCAGGGGAGGTAAGGGGGATAGATGGGGGGGGGTCGTAAATGAGGGCCCCGGATCGCATCAACACGCTTGACCCTGGTGGGAACGCATAACAAGAGCGGTGGGTCCCAGTGCGAAAGCACGCAAACCGACCAACGCCCGGCAAATACGGTGTGGGCAGGGGTCCAGAGATGAATTTCTCGCCCATTACGGACTTTGGTCTGCCGTTTGGATACTGCATTTATTGGGGCCCCACAATCAGTTTTCAGGTGAACCTACGTGTTAGTTCGCTTTCATACTGCCTCATAACCGGTAAAAATCCTGGTAAATGTAAAACTTGATGTGATTCTGTGCTAAGTGTCATATCCTATCACAAGCATGATTTGTGTAACCAAAGAAAAACTAATCACAAACCTTCCACACCGGTTCCCTCACTTTGCGAGCTGGATGCCATAGAGCTTGTAAGCAATACTGGAGAACCTATAACACTCAACTCATTTTCTATCCAAAACCAAAGCTCAACTAGACTACAAACCTTAATGGGTCCCAAAGAGACGCGCATTCCTTCACAAGCAAATATATATCGTTGAATGAGATGAGGGGAGTTCTCTAGCATATTTGGCCATACGTAATTCAACAGATGCAATAAGGCATCTTCACAGCCAAATCCATATACACCTTGATAAGTATTTTTTGTACCCGAAGCTGTAAATAGCAAGCGTCAACTTACCTAAAGAGAGATGCGCAACGGCATCGATAGCGATTTGCCTATGCACTTGATCTCGCTCCATCATAGCGTCAACAAGAAGTGGCGTGACAGCATAGATGTAGTCTTTGGCCATTTCACCGATGTACTAAAGAAGACTAAGGTCTAGAGAAGATTAAAAAGCTAGAATGTTCCACTTGTTCAATAATATTCAACCCCTTGATAGATCTCCCCAAAAAAGTAGCGGTTGCATAGCAACAACGTTCGTCAAAGTCAAATTATTCATGTGAGATGAAGAGCGGAAAAAGAGGATACCGAAACAGCTAATCTGCGTATAAGAACAAAAAAAATCATAAGGCAGAAGTTCTCAGTCACTGACCTCAAACATGAACGACAAAGCTTTCAAGACTCCGTTCTGCACGTTCATCTCCGGTACTCGGTATTCATTCATGATAGCTGGTAGCACTGTGAATGGTGCACAGGTTTCCGCGACAATGGCGATAGCTACGGTAGTGCAAACACGCAATTGTCGTTCTTGCACTTTCAAGTTGTTCAACAACGTCGCTAGTACGTCATGGGGACCGATGGCCTAAAATAATTCACTGAGATATGAAAACATAAGAGTCAAGAGTGCTCTCCTGAAAGACTTTGGAAAAATAAGATCCTGAAAGAATTTGGAAAAATAAAGAAGGCAAGAAACTTTGGATAAAAAGGCACCTTGGCAATGAATCCAAACGTATTGATCGCAGCTCGCCGTATACTCTTCTTGTGTGCTTTCAGTAATTCGAGAAGTTCGAAGCAGATACGCATCCATTCACGAGCCGACACAAATTCTGATCCACGATCGGCGATTGCGCCGACAAGATCAATGCAGTTTTCTTGTACTTTTTCATGACGATTTTTCAATATAGGCGTCAACCTGTCAGAAGACTATCTTAGGGACAATGAGGGAAATTATTTCTTGGTCCATACCTGGGCAGGAGATCTTTGATAGGTGGCGTCATCTTTGTCATTCCAATCACGTTGCAAATAGATTTCAGAGCACCCAAAATTGAACCAAGTACCTAAATCAGATAATAAATTTCTGTAAAATAAAGGCGATAACAATTATATGCCCAACAAACCTCGGGATATTCTTCTCCAAGGTACTCGTACAGCACAACACCCAAGTGACCCATAAGCTTCTCTTCTTCACAGATGTGCATCACCGGAGCAACTCGAGCAATCTGAAGTACAAAATCTTGAGGCACAAATAATTCATTTAAAAAAAAACTTTCTGTCTGACGGAAATGGATGAAAATCAACGAATTATGTGAAGTGACTTACAAGATCAGCAGCCTGTTGTCGAACTTTAGCCGATTTATTATTCAAACGCCATAGAATGGTACCACAGATTTGGGGCAGATAGGGTTTTGTACGTCTACAAAGTGTCAATTATAACCATTACAATCAACAGCAGAATAAAGTGATGGGGATGGAAGTTCCAGAAAGGAAAAAAGAAGACAAAATGTTGGAAATACTCACCTTCCCAAGCCTTTGCATACAGTTCCAAAACCATCAAGCATAACGGCATCTTCTTGCGTTTGTTCTTGGAAGGCGTATAGAATACCTGAAATTCGAATTTGAAAAAAACTTCTGAAGAACTGTTTTCTAGCAAAATCTTTCAACACAATGTGCGTGGGCCAAAAATAAGCGGAAACGCACCATCAATCAATTGCTCCTCCAAGCGAGAATCAATCTCATTGGCACCTTGTAATGCTACGATATTTTCAACGGTTTCCATGACCATTTTCCTTAAAAAAAAGAATATCATCACTAAGAACAAGAACGGTCACAGTGGGTACAACTAGTGCATGACTGCAAAAAGTACCTGTACTGCTCATTTTCATCCTTCAAGTCATCGACGATTCTCGCAATCATTTCAGCGCTTCCCACCTTCTGGGCCATCTCTACGGTTGTATCCACAAGTTGTCTGTAAATGACTTGATGAGGAACTCAATTAAGGGGTATACAAGAAACGTCTGACTAACCTGTAGTTTCTCCTGTCCATAGCCATACGCTGAGTCCAAAACGCTTTGAAGAAATGTGGCAAGATTTCATCGCGGATGTATGGTGCTTCCACACCATCTGTGGCGCAACATTGTTTGACTACCTAGAAAAAGCAATCCGCAAATTAGCCCCAAATGTGAATTCAGGCTGATATTTACCTTGAGCACAATCTTTTTCATTTCCTCATCGGGTGAAGCGAATTCTCTAATAAGAATAAGCATCACTTCCTTAGTATAGTACGAAGCGTATTCGGCGTCCATAAGTGGGATAAGGTAACCAATGGCCTTCAGGAAAGCGGCTAAACCTTTACCACGATGCATTCGGATACCCTAAAACCATGTTGGATTTATTTAAGGAAGAGACAGAGCAGTTAGTTCACCTTCCACAAGGGTTTTAGCACGGAGTCGAATGCTTCGATACCGTATGGCGTAGCAGCCTCAGCCAGTGCAGCCAAACACAACGCAGTAATCGTTCGTACCTATAAACAGGACTTCAGTGGTTTCAATAGATATGTGACGATCTCAAAAAACCTTCTGCTGCTCATCCTCCAATCCTCCTTCAACAATTTCAACAAGAGCCTTCAAGTGCGGTAAAACAGCGCAACCCATAAGAATGGCCATTTGCTGGACAATTTTGATACCTAAATGAAATGTGTTCGTAAACACGACATTGGCAGATGTTGACTGATTTGAGAACAATGACCCAAATAGAGAAGCTACATATCCAACCTGTATGTCTCGCCTGCCAACTTTTCCTACTCTTACACACAGCTTTCAGGAAAGGAAGCAGCGCAGGGATACCAAGCGCAGAAGCAACGACAGCAAACGCACGGGCAGTGGTGTTACGCACATACCTGGATTACGGTAACATGATACTTAATGATACTTGAGAAAGAAGAAAAAACTAATAAAAAGAAAATAAAAAACAACGACAATCAAATAATGAGCAAGCACATACTCATCAACGTTATCAATATCGGGTCTCATTGTTGAGATCATAGTCGCCAGACCGGCGGCCTTAGCCAAGTTGGAAATGATCTCACGACCTGCAAATAGAGAAAAATGAATACAGTAGTGGATCATAAAATATGAAAGTGCAGGGGTGGAGCTGATGACGAAAGTTTGCAGAATTATTCCTTAGATCGAAAGTAGATAGATAACTTTAGCCAGTAAAATCCACACGACTGGAGTTGAGATTATTCTCAACACAAATCCCAAAAAAAAATGTTTCAAAAAACCTTTGTCATTTAATTTCAAGAAGAAAAAAAGGTTTTGAGGCGCATTTCAAAAATTTGGAACGTTTGACTCATTTAAAGAATTAAAGGATCCATTTCGCTAGCACTGATTATAGACTTCTGTGGAAACCAGAAAAACGATAGATTTCGTTACAAAGAATCAAGCTTCAACGATACTACCTTCAACTCGGGCGTAATAATCCTCGTCAATGAGAAGCGGTTCAATGACTACGAGAATTTTGTGCACATATGGACGAACCAAGTCATCCAACTTGTACAGTATACGGTCGATTACCTGTAATGTAAAAATGGATTCTTATTCACTTGTCGAAGCATAAGACAAAACATAGCTAGCACTATTCTAAAGCTACAAAAATTGAATTGAAAAAATTTATTTGCGGGTGTAGACAGCTTAGCTTCCACAATCGCATTCTCGTCGGCAGAGACTTACCGAAACTTACCATTTGAGAATCTGCGGCCACGATTCCCCTTGCTCTGCGCGTCACTCTAAAAGCGCACGTGCAAAGAGGGAATTGAAAGGGTATTAGATTAGTGCTCAATGAAATCAGCTTTTTACAGATTACTACAGGGCTCGGCACTCGTATAAAATTCTTTTAAAATCAACTGGGTGATCTTGAAATGCATATTAAAGCGCATTGAAACTATACGTACTATTCACCTACAAAGCTCAAACCGAGCCCCGCTATTACTTACTTTTTACCACCAAGTCTTCAGTTCACCTCATATATAAGGCTTTTGTCATAATAGTACATGTTATGCCCTCACCTTAACCATAAGATGGCGTTCCTGATCTTCTAGTGAAGGTGACATCAACAGCGGAAGAATTTGGTTGAAAAGTGGTCCTGCACCGTATTTTCGAGCATTTTCTGTTATCTGCAGAATGAATGATTACACCAATGCACTTCAAATAATTCACACTTAGAGCAAAATGTGTGTGGATGCCAATCCTATCACCTTTCTCAATCCACTTTTTCTCTGCGGTGGCAGACCGTTTTTGATTTTTAGCAGATGTGTCATAATTTCACGCTCATTCAGCTCCTCTTTCGTTAAAGTACCTGGAAACATGATCATAACAATAATGGAGAAAACAGCGGAATTTGAATATCCTACTCTCGTCAACATCCATAAGCAGCTTGTCGAAATACTGCATATCATCCGGTTTGAGCGGTGGAAGATCCTGATTTTTTGGCTGTGTGTCGAGAATACCTCCCACGCCTAGATGTGTCCATTCATAGTAAAAATGAAACAGAGAAAAAAGAACATTCTTCTCCTTACCTTTATCACCAAGCCCATCTCTCTCTGGAGTTCCCTGCATAAAAAATCCTCCGGCAGCGATGCCTCCTAGCGGTGTGGGAGTAGCCATAAGCTTACGTGTCGGAGTTCTCAACGGCATGTAACCAGCTGGAGGCGGCAAGATCTACAAAAAAACAACATTATATCCCATTACTTTCATTTGTGCGTGCAACTGACCTTATAACCTGGAGGAAACAGTGCATCCAGTTCTTCATCACTAAGAGCACGATTTCTATCATCCAGCTCTTTCTCCCACAGAAAGTTTTTCATCTGCTCTGGGGTCATAGCCACTGGCGCCATGGGAGTTTTCATTCCCATTGCTGGCGTTCCCAATGGTGTAGCTCCTCCTGGCGTCAGCCCACCAGCCTGATTGATAAAAAACAATTATAAGCAAAAGTGTTTATGGATGCGCGTTTTCGTACAGGTGTGCTTCCATGGCTTGGTGTAAATGAGGGTGTTACTGAACCAGGCTGCGGTGTAGCCGATCCGGCAGCTGGAGTTTGCGAAGGTGTCAAATCCCACCTTGAACGACGTTTTGAAGCTGAGGGAGTGTCTTCAACCTAAAAACAAGCTTCGAGTACTGAAAAAAAAAGATCAAAAGATTAAAAAGAGCTTTACAAACCTTGACATCGTCTGTGGCACGAGCAGGAGTTTCCATTCCCCATCCAGGAGTCATAGATCCGGTATCACGTACGCTCTCGCGTGGTGTTTCATCCCACCGATTTCTTCGTGGGGTCTGCGTTGATGGCGTTGAATCGAACCTAAAGCAATAGAAAGAGCATAGTTGGCGTGGGCAATGTTGACAAGCAAATAAATAAACTGACCTATTGACAGATGGTGTAGCATCGGTTGCATTTGCATGAGCTGGCGTTTCTTCCCATCTCGCCACGTGCGGCGTTGCCGCCTGAACAATATAATGCTTGTATATTTATCTATTCTCAACAGCACAACTTACGTCTGCGCTGATACTGGAGATCCCTAAACGTTTACGTGGTGCCCCACCTGGAGTGGCACCTCCGGGTGTTGCTGATCCAGCACCAAGTACCTAAAAACCAGTTTCTAGCAAGTTCAACTTAAAAAACAGACTTTAGCAAAAAACCTCGTGTGATGGAGTCTCATCCCAACGTCCCCTCTTCTTTTCTGGAGCTGCAACTGACTGTAACTCACCAGATTTGGCTCGATCGGCAAGTTCTTTCTCAACCTGGAACATACAGAAGCTGATAAAGATCAATGATGAAACCATTATACTTAGGATTAGACAAAAATCCTTTCCAAATCTCAAGCAAGAACATACTTGAGCCGTTGATGACATTATTTGCGAAATTTTGGCTTTTAATGCTGTGATCCGCTCACCAGAGACCCATGTCAGTCGAATTTTGTGGTATTAATTAGAAATCATCTCATTTGCATGAGTTTCAAAAAAAATGACAAAAAATTTATCCCAAAGGTCGCCAACGGTGGGTTCAGCTAACATGAATGGATTTCTACGACTTTAATGATGAACAAATTTCAAAATGCTCATGAGACTCGTTTATTAAAACATCCTTTTTCCAACAGAAACCCCATGCAACCCAAACAAGTGCCCCCACCCCTCCTCTGACAATGCAAAGAAGAATCTTATAGCTTCACATTGACCTAGATTCGCAATCATCTAAAAATTGCCCTCGCTGGGTCATGCGAGCGATTTTAACGACATACTGCATGACGCGAGGAAATTTAACAAACGCTAACTTCTTCATCTCTCACATGTCATTCTCCCAGCTGTGCCTTGACTAACGAGAAATTTCTCGTTTAACTATAAAAAAGCACCAAAGATCTTGAGCACTGGACGACTAGACGCAAGATATTGGTTGGGTGACCTATTCATAGCGAGAGAGCAATTAACTACGATTTTACATATTCGCGCGACAAAACAAATGATACAATGTTACAGGACGGCTTCAAATCTAGGCCTATGTAATTGACAATATAGTGACTGTGAAAATAATGCAAATTTTTCTACTCTAATAACCGATCAATGTTGATGGAAAAAAAAGCAAATTCATAAATATCTCAAGAAAAATACAGCTGTATAGTACTCCCTAGAAAATCATTAGTAACAATGTTGCTTCGAAAATCCAACCGAGATGAAAATTGAACACTACCTTTCCCTTCTCCTCTTTATACTGCTGCTCTTTCATGATCTCTGCATAACCACGGTTCCTCTGATCGGGTGTTTGGTCAACTACAAAACAGTTATGAGAAAGCAACAGAAAAGATCTGTGTACTCACTGAATGCATCAACTCGATCTGGAGAGATAGCTCTGTGTCGAGCACGTTCTGCATATTTGGATGCTTGCCTTTCTATGATTGTCTTAGTACGAGTTTCCGCAAATGGATCGGGCTCCTGGAAAAAGAAAATATGTGTTCAAACTCGCGTAATGCTATGCTTGACAAGGTGATTCTACGTTTTACAGAAGATGTAAAATACGCAAAAACGGAAAAATATCTCTTTATTCAAAGATGCGTCCAACTTACATCACCACCAGTGTGAGCTGCTTCATGTATGAATTTAGCAGGAGCATTGACTGATTTCTTATTCACAGGTACGATGGTATCTTCATCGATGTCATCCTCATCTGCAGTATTGATTGAATCAAGGTATTTGCCACTTCTATTGCCACGAACACTTCCATACACATCCTAAAAGCGCTTACAGTCATGACATGGAGAACGAAGTTGCTAATGAGGAAAACGATGAAAATGACAAAATCAAGAAATCGTGTGCGAAAGTAAACACGAGAAAGTTGCGAAATTTCATTCAAGATCATGAAAAAATTCCCTAAACAGTGAAGTAACGGTGATTTTTTTTTTTTAGAAAAATGCGTTTCAAAGCTCAAAAAGATTGCTCTTGATAATGCTCAAAGTAACTCACTGTATCATATTGCCCTGCTGCGCCAAATGCAATCTTGTCTGACCCATTTTCATTATTTTCAGCATCTTCCTCTGTTGCTTGAAGTATTCGCTTCCTGTTCAGCTCTTGAGCATATGCCTCAGCTTCTAAAGGCAAAGAAAATGTATGGAAGGAGTACGATAAAAAAGAGCGGAAGGAAGTGTCACTTACTTTCCGTGGTATGAGCACGAGACATTTTAGAACCTTTGTGTTGGTGCTAAATGCCCAAGCAGATGCTGTAATGAAGAGAATGACAAAATCCACACAATCAAAAAGGAGGAAGAACAAACGCATAATGCTAAAATGACACATGCACAAGAGCTTAAGAGAATAAGTAAACTAAGCTGTAAACAACAACAAAACCCTCGCACTCAAAGATTTCGAAAACCCTCCGGTCGGTAATTATAATCGTGATTTGTCTCACAGCTGATAGTCTAAGGCAAATGAAAGATGTTTTTGCAAATAAGCTAGCCTGAAGATCACAAAAGGCATCAAATTCGAGACAACAGCAGGCTAAAATCAATGGAAAAGACCGCGCCGACGCATACGCCAACGACGCGTTATGCGTCAATGCGGGTTGGCGTAGGGGTGGCGTCTACCGTAATCGATTGCTGGCAGATTTGAATCACCACTCAGATCGACCGTGTTGATTGTTTCAGACGCAGAAAAAGATGTATAGAAGTCATAACGAGCTCAACGGAAGGTTGTAAATTCCGGATGTATGTCAGAAGGAGCGACTTATTGCCAGACGGACGGCAATTAGCGCTTTTTAGTATTTTATGACGTTCTTTGGGCAGCTGAAACTTCTAGATATATGTAAGACCCTCCCATAGGTTGCTCGACCTTATTGTTTTGAAATAAATTCAAAACATATGGGTTGGGTTGGGGTTAAAAGCCCGTATTCCAATCAGGTTTTCACCAAACGCCGCCAAACTTACCAAATGGTAGCTTCAGATACTTAGCAAGCTTGAGCACTTTGTCTGGTATTTTTGAAAAAGTCCCTCACATTATAGCACTGTATTTCTAACTCTCTCGTTGAGCTTATCCTTGAAATCAGGAAGTCCGCATCCCGCCTCCACACGAATCTGGGAGCGGATCATATACACATGCCATATATAGAAGGAATACCCATAAATTTTTATTTTTCTGTGTTTGATCGTAAAAATCCGAAACTTGAAATAGAAATTTGGAGTCGGTGTTGTTGATTCTACCGCAGGCTTTTTCTAAGTGAGTAATATTTGTGCTGATTGAACGTCCCTATGAAAAGTTAGGTCGAAAAATTGTCAAGAAATTCAGTTTTTCTTCTTCTGTACTACTCGCTCAATAATCATAACCAGGGCTCGGCACAGGTGGCTTACAAGCAAGCTGGATATTGTTTTTGGGACAAAAAGCAAAGGGGGTTTCGTTTTTGTGGCCGAAAAGTCACAAAATCTGCGACGTTTTTGTTAGTCAACGTTTCGTTTTTTGGGGATTTTCTAGGAAATATGGTCTAAAGTCGAAGGGGACGTCGTAAAAATTTGCAAAAGTCAAGGGGGACTTCGTTTTTTGCATTTTCATCTAGCCACCTCGTGTCAAGCCCTGATCATAACTTCTCACAGAAACGTTATCAGCACAAATTCTGCTCAGTTAGGTAGCAGGTAAAACCAGGTAATAAAATTCATGATACCGACTCTCCAATTTACTGCAAGTTCCAGATCTTTTACTATGAGACCCAGAAATTCAAAATTTAATCAATTCCCTTCTACGCTTCTATCTATGCAATGTATACACAATAGAAGGCTGCTAGAATACTTTTGTGAAGAGCACATGATTTACTATAGAAAAATGAAAGCAAGCAAATTGGTTGTAAAAATGAGAAATTATGCATTTTTTGAGAATGATGTGAACGAACTTTCGGGCCAACTCAATAGGTGTATTGTTCCTGCTTTGCCGACAGCGCTTGCGCGTAAAATTTATTTATTTATTTATTTAATACGCACAAGGCGCGCCCATACAGCAGAAGAACGAAGCATCACACCAAACAAACAACAACAAAAAAATAAAACAAAAAGGCAAACTCCCCACTGAATCAGTTCAAGTCCAGTCCGCAAAACCTTTCTGGGAATGGAAAGGGGTGAGCTTGTTTAGACATATACGAAGTCATCACAGGTATAGAGGTTCAATGGAGTCTGTCTCATGCCCCCTGCTCTTAGCAAAAAATGCTCTTACTCAACATAAGCAATTGTATATGTTGGAAGCAGGTGTATTGGTAGTAATATTGATAAAACCCGCCCAACCAAAACTCTGGGGAGAGAACAGAACTCCGATAGAAGTTGCACAATGCAAAAGTCTCAAGCCCAAACAAGCTAGCCCAAGCATAACTGAGGTGATAAGACGGAACCAGACCCAAACTAACGCGTGAGGCATGAAAGTGTTAGAAGAAAACCAAACAGAGAACGGCAATGATTTGAGCCAAGGTCCAATGAAGTGGTAGAGTCTGATCTAACATAAACTACAGTCCAACAAAGCATTCGTTCCGCATCCCTCGGCCACAATCAGCCCAGAGTAAGGGTCAACATGAGACAGGTAGAGTCGCGTGCCATAAAACCGTCATACGAAAAAGATAGTGAACCGCATGGACAAAAGCGAGAATCTAAAAAAAAGACTATTGAGAGATGAAAAATAAAATAGAAGAAAAAGAAGGAAAAAAGAAGTGCAAAGAAGATCAAGCCTCAGAACCAAACCGTGGGAGAACCAAAACAACCATAAGCCCTAAAGACCTAAACCCTTAAAGAATCTGAACACAAATATTAGAAACGCAACGCAATCAAGAAGAAGTATCACTGCTCAAAAGTTGAGACAAATCAGCTTTTCTTAATTTTTTCTTGAAGGCTTCACCGCCGCGCACTGACACAATATCAACGGGTAAGCGCTGAAGCCATCTTGCACAGCGGAAGAACAGGTAGTTGAATATTCCAGACTGATGTTGCTTGATAGGTTTATAATGCAGATTGAAACCACCTAGCCTCGTACCAGCAGGTTTGAAGATCCAAAATTTGCTTGCTTTTAATTTTATTTCCATGCGAAGAATACGAAAACAAAAGACGAGGTCGGATATCATGCGTCTAATTCTGAGAGGAGTCAAGCCCAATTTATTAGAGCGTAGGTGACAGTCTGGAATATCGACTAGTGTTCCACCACTCGCACGACGAAAGACCAGGCGGGTAAAAGTGGGCTGAACTCTTTCAATCTTCATTATATCTTTTTTTCGGGAAGGAGTCCAAACTTGCGAACAGTATTCAAGATGTGGAATAACATAAGCTTTATATAACCGGGACAGTATAATAGGATTACGAGTTTGTATATTGCGAAAGATTGTAAATAATGTGGCACATGCCTTGTTGACAATTGAATCAATATGCTTAGAGAATTTCAAATCACAATCGATAATATAATAACTCCCAGATCTTTCACATCTTGACAAGCAGTCATCTCAACTCCATCAATTTTATACGAAGTTGAGGCATGCTTGCCAAGATGGAGGAAGGAACATTTTCTTGGGTTGAGAGAGAGTCCATTCTGAGACGCCCAAGCACACATTTTATCAATCGATGACTGCAAAGCATCATGAACTGTGTCCAGGTTGTCTTCATCATAGGATGCATATATCTTTGTATCGTCCGCATAGATTTGTACGTGTACATTCAATGTTTTTAAAGCATCAGGTAGGTCCAAAGTGTATACCAAAAATAACAAAGGAGATAGGACAGCTCCCTGAGGAGCTCCACTGGGACAGGGATTTCTGGAATATTCATGACCAATCTTTACCGTCATGCATCTATTGCTCAAGTAAGACTCAAACCAAGTTAGTAGGTTTCCCGAAATTCCGATATTCTCTAGTTTGCAAAGAAGCAAACGGTGAGGTATTCTATCAAAGGCCTTGGAAAGGTCGAAGTATATAATATCCACAGATTTTCCCGAACTCAAGGCTAATTTCCAATCAAAAACGGCCTCAGTAAGATTGGTTGCAGTTGACTTGCCTGGCACAAAGCCATGGTGCTCGGGCGAAACAAGATGGAACCTCTCTAACCAAAGTAGTAATTTACTTCTAATAATTCTTTCCATAATTTTGATGGGCACAGAATTATGGCTAATGGGGCGAAAATCGGCAACACTTTCAGCTGCGGAAGTTTTAGGCACAACGGTAACAATGGCTTCTTTCCAAAGGGAGGGAATCTCACCAAAGTGTAGGGAAAGATTGAATATATCAGCAAGCGGTTTGGCAAGAGTATCTGCACACATTTTGTAGAGTATCTGAGGGATGCCATCGTACGGCTCCATACACGAAGGTTTTAGGGACCTCAAGACTCTTCTCACTTCCGCAGGGTGAAAATAAACAGAGTTCAATTTGTTTTGAGAAGGAGGGTGGGAGGAAGAGGGGGTGATGTTTAAAGGATTCGCGAACACAGTGGCAAAGTATTCACCCAAGGCCTCTGCTTTATTGGAATCATTACAGCAAGTATAACCCAAAGAGTCTTTCAACACCGGGAGGCTAACCTTACTTTGTAACTTGTGGTGAATGTACCTAAATAAATTTCTCATAGAGGATTTCTTTGATAAGCGTCGCTGATTGGCTAGAAACTTTCTGAGGTGCAGATCAGTGTCAGCACAGACTTTCTTGTACAGGGGGCTAGTTAGAGGTGAATCTAAAACACAAAATAAGCGACACTTCTGTTCAATAAGTGAACGAATATGAGCAGGATAGATCAATCCAAAGTTGCATTTAATTCTCATAGTACCAAACAATGCCATCCCAGTATATATGACTTGGCAGAATCTGAGATACAAGTCATCAACATTGCGATAATTGTCAAACAGTGCAGTCCAATCAACTTCAGATAAATACTTGTTGAGGGAAACGTAATCAAAGTGCACAAAATCGGGTGTAGGATAAGATGAGACAAGCTGAAAGTTATCTTTATACTCAAATGTAATGATGCTATGATCTGCAGAAGCCAAAGGTGGATAGAGTCTGACACTGTGAACGTTTCCGAAGTAGACAATATGATGTCCAGAATACTATCAGCGTGGGTAGGATATAAGACATACTGTTTCAATTCAGCATCAATGAAGAAATCAAGGAACGGTTTAGATTCATGGCTAATGTGCTTCATATTGAACCAATCAATATGTAGATTGAAATCGCCCATAATAAGTGTAGTATTTACATCGGAAGTTAGATTGGAGAGAAGCTCAATCAGC